AAATACAAAAATTAGCCAGGCGTGGTGGCGGGTGCCTGTAATCCCAGCTACTTGGGAGGCTGAGGGAGGAGAATCACTTGAACCCGGGAGGCGGAAGCTGCAGTGAACTGAGATCGCACCACTGTACTCCGGCCTGGGTGACACAGCGAGACTCTGTCTCAAAGAAAAAAAAGGAAACTATTATGACATATACTTTTCTAATCATTGTACATTTCCCAGACTAGATAAAAATGTTTGACAAAGTCCTCACTTTTAAGGAAATGTAAAAAACTTAGAAATCTCTTTTGATTAAAAAAAAAAAACAAAACAGGACTTGTTTCCAGAGATTCCGGTTCCACACTCTGCCCCAGTCCTTGGGACAGCTTCCCAGTCATCCAGCCGGCGTTTGCCCCTGGTCATTGTTCTAACAAGTTCTCCCCTGAGCAACAGCCCCTGAGCCTCTTTTTTTTTTTTTTTTTTTTTTTGAGATGGAGTCTCACTCTGTCATCCAGGCTGGAGTGCAGGGGCATACTCTCAGCTCACTGCAACCTCTGCCTCCTGGGTTCAAGCGATTCTCCCGTCTCAGTCTCGGAGTAGCTGGCCCGCCACCACATCTGGCTAATTTTTGTATTTTTAGTAGAGAAGGGGTTTTGCCATGTTGGTCAGGCTGGTCTCGAACTCCTGACCTCAAGTGATTCACCTGCCTCGGCCTCCCAAAGTGCTGGGATTACAGGCGTGAGCCACCCCGCCAGGCAGCCCCTGAGTCTTTACATGCGGCAGTACCTTACTTGCTGCCTGACAAGTAAGCAACTATTTGAGCATCAAACCCTTGGGTCTCTCTTGCCATGAAGACCTCGTGCGAATTGTTCGTTCCCTTTTAGTGTTGAGTGTTAACTGGGGTAATGTCAAGTGTTACTGGGGTAATGTCTAAAGCAAACCTGATTGTTTTTTTGTGTTTTTTTTCTCTTAGGAGACTTGTCCTTTCTGCTTGGATGCCCAGCAGATTACTTTTTATCTTTGAACTCCAAGGTTAACCATTCTTGGTTCATTTCGCGTGGGGTATGGTGTGCCTTTTTATTCTGTTTCTGTCAACTTTAGAAAATGTTTTAAAACATGTATCCTGCTCCATACTTTGGCTTTGTTCTGCAGACACTCCCAGCTATCCACGTGTGTCAGTCGCCTCTGCACGACGGGGGTTCTCTCAGAGTTTACCTTTATGCAGGGTGTCCAGTGCTGGCTTCTGGCCTCGGGGGATCTGCAACTGTGGCTCCCAATGCCAGGAGAGTGTTGGAAGCGGTCCCAGGCCCAGAGGGGCCAAGACCCTGGAGACTGCCCTGGGGTTAGCTCCCAGTATCTCCTCGGGCTTCTAGTTCTTTCTCTCTGGAATGGGCCCTTCTTTCCAGCTCAGATACGCCTGATGCATGTTTTTTTTTCCAAGGATTTCTGTGTTGGCAGTGGAGGGAGAGAGGCCTCCACGTCAGCTCAGCCTGATACGTCACTAGAAACTGGCTGAGACCTTGTTGGTCTTGTTCAATGTTGAATCTCAGGTAAGGAATCAATAAAAATTGACTGGATAAATGAGAGAATTTAGCACAAAATTCATGTTTTTGCAACACTTAATAGATAAAAGAAAACACTTAGGCTGGGTGTGATGGCTCATACCCATAATCTCAGCTTTTTGGGAGGCCAAGGTGAGAAAATCATTTGAGGCCAGGAGTTCAAGACCAGGCTGGGCAAAGTAGCAAGACCCCATCTCTACAAAAAATAAAAATTAGCTGGGCAGGGTGGCACGTGCCTGTAGTCTCAACTACTTGGGAGGCTGAGGCGGGAGGATTGCTTGAGTCCAGGACTGTGAGGCTGCAGTGAGCTAGGACTGGGCCATTGCACTCCAGCCTGGGTGACAGAGTGAGACCCTATCTCTTAAAAAAAAAAGAAAGAAAAGAAAACAGCCAAAGTGGGTCAAGTAGAAATTGTATGAGTCCTGTAGAAAATTGCAACACATTCAGGGAAAGAGGGGGAGAGGGACAAGCACTGGGAGAGAGAAAAGGAGCAGAAAAAAAAAAACAACAATCCAGAGCTTCCTCAATTCTGCCCCCACCCCTCCCCACTCCCCACATATCAGCTTCTCCGGGCCGTGGCTTTTCCATTTGGTTTCCTCCCGGGCATCAAAAACGCACAGAGCGGGCCCTCGCTAGGACTGTGGAGTGAGTGGAAGTGATTCTTACTGCAAAGCCATCATGGAGAACCTGCTGCAAACGTGACTCTGAGAAGGACTCTGAAGAGGTGAGGTGACACGAGGTCCTGAGGGTGGCCCCTAATCCAAGAGGACGGGGTCCCCAAGGAGAAGAGGAAGAGACCTCTGGGATGAGCGTGCAGAGGCCTCAGGAGGAACCAATGATCTCCCACACCATATCTCCAACTTCCAGCCTCAGAACCGTGAGAAAGGAGATTTCAATTGAGGCAGCCAGGTCTGGGGCCTGAGCCACAGTGCTCACGGCAGCCTAAGCTAACCAGGACAGAGATGGAGCAGGGCGGGGACCGAAAAAGGGGAGGAACGGAGCGAGGGGAGGGACAGAACAAGGGGAGGAACGGAGCGAGGGGAGGGACAGAACAAGGGGAGGAAATGGAGCTAGGGGAGGGGTGGAGCGAGGGGAGGGACGGAGGGAGGGCAGAGACCGAGGGAGGGCAGGGACGGAGGGAGGGGAGGGATGTGCTCGCCCAGAGCCCCCATGCGTGGTAGAAGAATACACTCAGTAAACGGGAGCTATTTTATTTTCTCTCAGAATGCAAGGCCCCATCACTTCTCCCTGACTCAGCCTTCTGATCACCAGCCTGGGACGCCCGCTCCACGGTCAGCTGTCCAGGGGCCGCCCTGCACCCACACCTGCCTGCCACCCCCAGGGGGCCAGAAGCAGCAGGGAGGGCTGCGTGAGGAGGGTGGGGCCGGCTCAGGCAAGGGGTCCCTCCTGGGGACTCGGCTGTCATACCAGTGAATGGGGGCAAGGCGAGGACAGATGGGCATGGTCCAGCCTGCACGTCTGGGACAAGAAGGCTCAGCCCAAGGGAGAGGTTCCTGGTGTTGGAAGCTCCTGGAGAAGGGGCCATTTTCACCCTGCCCATCGGGTCTGCCTCCCAGCAGCCTCAGTGGGGGCGAAGGCTGCCCAGGGTCCAGTCTGCAGGAAGGGTGGGAGACCCAGGGACTGGCCTGAGAAGCAGAAAGTCATTGCTTAGGAGCTGGGTGCTGCCCAAACAGAAACGTGGACTCTGGCATCAGACCGAGCTGCGCAGGGGTCACGGGTGGCCTTGGACGAGTCACTTCAGGTATCGCAGCCTCAGTTTCCACCTCTAGAAAATGGGCTGTTTCCTGACCGGGCACTGGCCAGAGCTGTAAGGGGATTTCTGTTCTCTCTCATGGTCCTGTGGCAGGAGTTCCAGCAGCCACTGTGGACCATGAAGCGGCCACAAGGAGGGAAGGGCATGCTGAGGACGGGAGACCAGGGAGGAGGAGCCTCTGAGGACGAGGGATCAGAAAGGAGTAGCCTCTGAGGATAGGGAATCAGGGAGGAGGAGCCTCTGAGGATGGGGGATCAGAAAGGAGGAGCCTCTGAGGACGGGGAATCAGGGAGGAGCCGCCTCTCAGCACGGGGGATCAGGGAGGAGGAGCCTCTGAGGATGGCAGATCAGGGAGGAGGAGCCTCTGAGGGCGGGGGATCAGAAAGGAAGAGCCTGAGGACGAGGGATCGGGGAAGAGGAGCCTCTGAGGATGAGGGATCAGGGAGGGGGAGCCTCTGAGGATGGGGGATCAGAAAGGAGGAGCCTCTGAGGACGGGGAATCAGGGAGGAGGTGCCTCTGAGGACGAGGGATCGGGAAAGAGGAGCCTCTGAGGATGGGGGATCAGGGAGGAGGAGCTTCTGAGGACAGGGGATCAGGGAGGAGGAGCCTCTGAGGACGGGGGATCAGAAAGGAAGAGCCTCTGAGGATGGGGGATCAGGAAGGAGGAGCCTCTGAGGACGGGGGATCAGGGAGGAGGAGCCTCTGAGGACGAGGGATCAGGAAGGAGGAGCCTCTGAGGACGAGGGATCGGGAAAGAGGAGCCTCTGAGGATGGGGGATCAGGAAGGAGCCTCTGAGGACGGGGAATCAGGAAGGAGGAGCCTCTGAGGATGGGGGATCAGGGAGGAGGAGCATCTGAGGACGGGGAATCAGGAAGGAGGATCCCCCCTGAGGCCGGGGGATCAGGGAGGGGGGAGCCAGGATTCCTGATGACTCAGGGACCAGGGCAAGGCAAAGGAGCCTAGTGCTGCTGCCTCTGGACGGTCCTCCATGAGGGGAAGGAGAAATAAATCTCTCGTTTTCTGTTTTGGTTTTCTCTATCATACACCACAGAATCCACCAAAATGGAGAGGTTTTTTTTTTTACGTTCAGGGTCTTGCTCTGTTGCCCAGGCTGGAGTACAGTGGTGCAATCACAGCTCACTGCAGCTTCGACCTCCTGGGCTCAAGTGATCCTCCCACCTCACCCTCCCGAGAAGCTGGGACCAGAGATGTGCACCACCATGCCCAACTATTTAAAAGAAAAGTGTCGTAGAGACAGTGTCTCGCTATGTTGCCCTGGCTGGTCTCAACTCCCTGGGCTCAAGCCATCTTCCCACCTCAGCTTCCTACCTCAGCCTACCAAAGTGCTAGAATGACAGATGTGTGCCACTTTACTGAGGCTATTTTTATCTTCAATATACGTGTAAAGAAACAGGGGCTCAGGAGGTACCCAAGTGATGCGGCAGGAATTACAGTCCCGTTTGTATGCCCGATGCCACCTGGAGAATTCCAGGGCACCGCATGGGAAACCCGTGGTGCTGTGCCAGCCAGGAGGTGGCCATGGCACCATTACCTCCTTCTCTCTCAGACCCTGCTGAGGTTGGGCCATGTTGAGATCCAAGCAACCCAGTCAGACAGACCCTGCTGGACTTAGGTGGAGGAATCCAGCCATCCCCTCCTCCCCTGGCACGAAAGGCTGACCACTCCTGCAGAAAAGAACTCAGGTTTATTTGCAAGTAAAAACCATGGTCCGAAAAAAACCCATTGGCAAATGTACAGTTTGTGTCCATTTGGGGTTACCGCCAGCTCGGGGGGAGGGGGGCCCAGATCCCTGACCCGCATGCATGGGGCTCCCACATGTTCACAGCTGATCTCAGGCCTCTGCAGTTTAGCCCCCCGCAGAGGACACCCCGTCTCCTGCTGAACACCATCAGACATCCCGGCTGCACCCAGCCCTCCAACCCTCCTGCCTTAGTGCAGTGCAAAAACCAAACCAAACCGAATACAAATCTCAAAACAAACACACACAAAACAAACAAATTCACAAAAAGTCAGGGCTCTAAATTATTTTTTCTCAGTGTCTTTTGTGATCATGACGACTTATTTGTCAACAAACTAAAATATACATCATTTTCTTGCTATTATAAAATCTCTTATTATTCACAGATATATAACGGGAGATTTGGATGAAATAATTACAAACTTTTTTCCCCTTAAAAAACAAACAAGCCAAAAAAACACAACACAACAAAAAACCCCAAAACCAAAAGACAAGACCTTTCTGACGACAGTAAACACAGGGGCTGCCGGCTTCCTCCCCTCCATCCTCGGCGCCTGCTGGACCGTGGGGCGCAAAGTGCTGGGTGTACCCCGACACGCAGGCCCCAGGGTGCTCTCTCCCAGGCCGACTCTTCACTTCCCCTGCCCTGCCTCTACCTCCCCTCATTCCCAAGCCTTTGTCGAGGGCCACTCTCTCGTCCTGCCGCTCCCCATCCCCGTGACTCCTCCCACCTCTTCCCTACGCCCCAGAGGCATACGGCTCAGAGGCCACAAGGCCAAACTCACAAGGAGCCCCCAGGTCCCCAGCGCCACCCACAGCAGGGATCAGCCTCCCCCACACCCAACCTGGGCCGGGCACCTCCCACAGGCTGTGCAGCTGGCCAGAGGGATAAGGGGCTATAGGAAGCCCAGGTCTCAACAGAGGCTTTGGCAAGGAGCTGGGAGGGAGACACTGCTGCCAGGTCCCATGCAACATCAGGGTAGAGAAACCAGGGTCTGGCTAACCCAGCCGGAGGTCAAAGGCCGGGAGTCGTGGCTGGGGGAGGCAATGGGGTAGAGCCACCCCCAAGAGCACTTACTTTGAGTTGCCCAAGGCCCAGTTTGAAGGCTGCAGGGACCCTTGGAAGGAAGCCCTGCCAGGGGCTGGAACCAACCTCTCATGCCAAGGCTGGGCAGACCCTCAGGGACCACCCTGCAGGAGAGCAGAGGGGCCTCCTGGAGAAGGACCTGGCAGGGATCTAGAGAGGGGAAATCCCTGTTTTCTTCCCTGCCCATTTCAGGGTTTTTACAAAAGATGTACTGACCTGGCAGCAGGGCCACGGCCAAGCAGACACCATCCCAGGACTCCAGAAAGGGCCCCTCAGAGAGAGGGCAGGAAACAGTACCACTGACGAGGGAGCAGGGTTGGAATTTCATCATCCCAAAGGCCCCTCCCAAGAGAGGGGCCTGCCCTGTGGGGTCTGGGTGTGCCCCTGGCATGGAGGGGAGTGGGGGAGTCAGGGAGGTCTGGGGAGCCAGAGTGGCTGCAGAGGGCCACTGCAGTGCTCTCCTCCTGCGCCCTAGCACAGTGGGGCAAGTGAGCCCACAGTGAACAGCCTGGCTCTGGTCCCATCTGCCTCCCGAGGCCTGACACCTCCCCCTGGGAGCAGCAGGAAAAGACAGGCAAAGCTGAGTCCAGGGGCTAAGCAGAGGGGCTGGGGGCAGGTCCCCTCTGCTGTCCCTAGCCCTTCCTGGGACAGCATCTGCTGTTCAAACCTAGGCTCCTGACCGCCATCTCGGTTGGATGGGGGCAGGCAATGGGCTTCTGGCCTCAGCTGCTACCCAGAGCCTGGCTTGCAGTGCTGCTGGTGCCCCCTCCTCTGTGCTCTGGGTGGGGCGAGCCCAGGTTTCCTCTATGTACAATAGCACACCCACTGATGGGTCGCCGAGGGCAGGCTGACAGTGAAACGGTTCGAGTTTAGGATTCTCAACACCCTCCCCATCCCTGTGGGCGGTGGAAGACTGGGAGAGGTTGGTATTTCCCCTCTGAGTCACAGAGGAGCTAGAGACAGACTTCAGGGCTGGAGTGACTCTCCCAAGAAAATCTGTGCGTCTTGTCCACGTTCCTGCCGTCACTGGATGCCCTCCTCTTCTACGTACGTTGAAGGAAACCAGCCGATCTGAAAAAGATGGCAGGATCGTGTCTGTGTGTGTGTGTGTGTGTGTGTGTGTAAGCAGGTGTGTGCATGTCTGTGTTGGGGTAGGGGCAAGTAGAGACTCAAGAAGATGGGGGTCCTTCGGAAGTCCAGAGTTCTCAGCAAGGCCTGCAATTCAGAAGGACCTGGTGGAACCATTGCCCAGGAATAAAAGTAACCCAGAAAAACACCACCCTTGGCCAATTTAAGATGTTCTGTCCACCCTCCACCTGCCAGTCAGAAAAAAAATGAATTCTCCTGAGGAAAAGAACATCACCCAGAACAGCTACAGTTTTAAAGAACATCACCCAGAACAGCTACAGTTTTTTTCTTAATACACAAGCTTGGCATTCAGTCGGGACCAAATGACAAAAACCAATAGAAAAAGCAGGCAGTAGAAATTAACCCACAGGTACTGAGGTCATCTGTCAGGGGAGATAAATAACTCTAATTTGTACGTTTAAGAAAATGGATGAAAAGGCAGACAATTTTACCAGAGAACCTAAATCAGAAATCAAATAGAAATCCTAGAACTGAAAAATATAATGAATGAAATGAAGACTCCAATAGCGGGATTTAGACAAAGCAGAAGAGAAGATGCATAAACCGTAAGATAGGTCACTAGAAAGTGACTAGATAGAAAACCAGAGAGAAAAAAGGACAAAAAAACACATAAAATTGTGGGAATAATATGAGGCCATGGTAAAAAGTTCTAACATCCATGTGAATGAAGTCCGACAAGGAGAAAAGAGAGAAAATGGAACAGATACGCTGTCTGCAGATATTATTCTGGCTGAGAAATTTCCAAAAGTGATGGACATCAAGCCACAGGTTCAAAAAAATCTCTGCAAATCCTAAGTACAATAAAGAAAGAAAAAATCACACCTAGCCACATTATAGTAAAACGAACCTAAAACTTCAAAATGAACTTAACATCAACTCAAAACTTCAAATGAACTTCAAAAATGAACTCAAAACAACTCACAGAAAGGAACTAGGTCTCCTTGGAAAAATGACTGATTCCTGGGGGAGAATGAATAAGTACAAGAGAAAAGAAAGTTTTCCTTACAGTAGAATGCCAACTAATATCTATAGATAGTCGAAAAAAATCACTATTTTTTCAGCCATAATAGAAATAATAGGCCGGGCACGGTGGCTCAAGCCTGTAATCCCAGCACTTTGGGAGGCCAAGACAGGCGGATCACGAGGTCAGGAGATCAAGACCATCCTGGCTAACACGGTGAAACCCTGTCTCTACTAAAAAATACAAAAAACTAGCCGGGCGAGGTGGCGGGCACCTGTAGTCCCAGCTACTCAGGAGGCTGAGGCAGGAGAATGGCGTAAACCTGGAAGGAGGAGCTTGTAGTGAGCTGAGATCTGGCCACTGCCCTCCAGCCTGGGCGACAGAGGGAGACTCCGTCTCAAAAAAAAAAAAAAAAAGAAATAATAGAACAGATAAAATTCATCAAGGGAAGATAAAACTAGTACATAAAAGTTTGAAGAGGAACAGGATATTTATCTAACTTCAAAGTATTACCCTACAAATTTCTTGCTAATGACAGGCAACAGTTAACTTCACAGTAGAAGAACATAGCAAATATAATCTTAAACACATGATCAAAGTTAATGTCACAAATAATGAGACAAACTGGTATAATTCATCTCCTAACAGGACACTACGGCACTGAGAAAGTGCCAACATCCCCATTGTGGTGTTCCCAACGTGACCTCAATCTAATCATGAAGAAACATCAAACCCAAACTGAGAGATATACTATAAAAATAGTTGGCTGAAACTCTTCAAAAATGTACAAGTCACGTAAGGCAGAGAAAGGCTGAGGAATATTCTAGATTAAAGAGAGTTAAGGATCACAGCAGTTCATGATCCCGGATTGGATCCAGGACCAGGAGAAAAGAGCTAGAGAAGACATAATTGGGATGACTGGTAAGATTTGAATAGGGACAGTGGCTTAGATAATTGTATTATATCAAAGGGGAATGTCCTTGGTCTTAGGAAATACTTAGGGGTAAAGAAATATGATTTCTGCAATTTACTCTCAAATGAGTTGGAGAGAAATAGACAAACACACAGACACACACACAGTGCAAATGATAAAGCAAACGGGGCAAAACATTCACAATTGGTAAATCTGGGCAGGTTACTCCCACTTTTAAGATGAAATTTTGAAATTTTATGTTTGAAATTTTGTTTCAAAATTATAAGTTACAAACATTTTACAATGTGAATATTTAAAAAGAAAGTGAAATAAGGATGTTTTTAGATTCAACAGAAACTGAGACTTCATTAATAGCAGATAAACTTTAAAAAATATGAAAGAGAGGGGATGTCAGCCAGCAGAGAAATGGTCTTGGGTGGAAATACAAGAATGCAGGAGGAAATGGGGAGCCCCGGGAAAGGTAAACACAGGGTAAATCTAAATGAGCACAACTGCCTAAAACAAAAACAATGTCTTCTAAGGTGTGAATATATATAGAATTAAGATACATGATGACACTTGCACAAAAGTTGGAAGGAAAATGGATACAATCAAAAGTTGCAAGGTCCTTCCTTGCATTGCCTGGGAAATAGTAAAAAAGTACTCATTTAAGGGAATCTCTGGTGTAAGGTTATCACTTAAGAAAAAAAGTGTGTAACTAACAAACCAATGTAGGGCAGGGGAAGTAGAATTAAAACTACATTAATTCAAAAGTAGGCAAGACAGAAGAAAAGAGGAGTAGATGTGACAAATAGAAAATAAAGTTAGATTACTTATTTAAACCCAAATAGCTCAGTAATTACATTAAATATAAATGGACTACATATGCCTACTAAAAGTCCAAGACTGGCAGATCAGACTGGCTTCCCCAACTATTTATGAGAGACCCATTTTAAATATCAGGAAAAAGACAAGTTTAAGTAGTATGAGAGAAAATAATATGCCACACAAAGCACTAATCCCAAGAAAGCTGGTGTCACTACAACAGCAGATAAAGGAGATTACAGCAAGAATAAATGCCAGAGAAAAGATGTTTCATAATGATAACAGGGTCAAATTGACAGCAATTATCCAGTAATACTCAAACTAGTTGTTCTAAAACTTAATGCTGTATAGAAAATACCTGGATCTGGGAAAGGGCCCAGGTACGTGCTTATTATATTACAGCTCCAGACACTTTTAACGCCAGTCACACAAGGACCACTTTGAAAACAAGTGGTCCCAGCCCTCTAGGTGGGTTACCTACGCCTCAGTAGCCTTCACACTTCTGCAAGGCAGTTGGGTAAAAACTGGATCAGACTTGAGGGCCTCCAAGGGGCAGACTGCCTGATAGGTGAAGGCAGAGCGGCTCCTGCCACTGGACAATGGAAGTGTCAGCACTGGCCCTCTGCAGCCCCATGCACTTGCCCTGTGCACCTGCAGCTCAAAGAGGAAGCTGGGCATTTTCTAATTGGTGGCACACGGAGCTCTGGTGCTTGGATGGATACGTACTGAGAGACATGGGCCAAAGCTAGAGGTAGAGATGGGGTGTTGGGATGAAGAGGCCATGGACTTACACAGAATCTTAGGGTGCCCAGGGCACTCTTAAGCCCACCTGGCACTTGGGAAAGTGTGAAGGGATGGAGGTGGGTAGGGACACAGTGTGTCCCTACTGCCTCACCAGGGCATAGATGGGGCCTTAGAGAATGGCAGGAGGAGCCCAGAAAGGACACCGTGTCCTCCTCAGTCCTGTGACCTCCCTTCCTGCAAATAAAGCTTGGGGACTTACAAGTAATTTCAAGAGTGCAGCTGTGAGGGCAGCTCAGAATAAAAATGGAACAGGGTGGAGGGTCCTAGGAGCTTGGATCCAGATCAGATCTCTGTAGCCAATTCCTGGGCTATGAGACCTTGGGTTCGTGGTAAACATCTGGAGCCTCAGTTTCCCCCTGTGAACGCCAGCCTTCTGGGCTGCTGTGAGGATGAAGGAGATTACAGAGGGTGCCTGGGACAGGGCCAGGGGTGTGGACATAGCTGTGGTGCTAGTCTGCCTGAGTCTGACCAGGTGGGGGCTGCAGCGAGGCCAGCCCCGCGCCCTCAGGGTAGGGCCACTCACCCGTCCGTTGGTCTCGCCCTTCCACCAGCCCTGGTCCCCGCCGATGCGGCTGTAGATCCTCACCACGTCACCTTCCCGCAGCGAAAGCTCTCTCATGTCTCGGGCAGCAAAGTTGTACCTGGCCACAGCCGTGCCGATGACGCGGGGCGTGAACACTGTTGAGGGAGATGGGCAGCATCACACAGCAGCAGTAGGGGCCCAACCAGGGATCGAGGAGGCCCTTGGGCCAAGCTGGGTCTCTCCCCTGGTGCCCAGAACCTTGCTCTGTACCCAGAGAGGAAGGATGTCAAGCATCCAGGCTCTGGAGGGACACACTGGCCTCCAATCCCAGGACCTCTTGCCCCCTGGGTCTGGGGACACAGCACAACCAAATCCCTGCAATGAGGATGCTCTTAGGGACACAAGCAGGTGCCCAGGCTTTGACCATCATCATTCCAGCGGTCCCCCAATTCCAGAGCCCAAATCCAACCAGCAACCCAGTGGAACCAGCTTGGCCCAGACACAGAATCCTGATAGACAGGTGTCAATGACCATGGCTGAGGGTGAAACACACACGGCTGCTGGGAAGGGACTTTGACTCTGGCAGCTGAAAGCCATGAGGTCAGGGCTGACTAAAACCCCCTCCTCCCTGCACCCAAGTCCCACAGCTCCTCCTCGTGGCCACCTGTTTTCTGTTACCAGAGGCAAAGCTCTTGATGAACAAGGAGGAATGACAGTGGCCGAGGCTGGGGAAGTGGCCATCAGGATGGGCGTGTCCACAGGGGGTGGGTGGTGACAAGGGTGGGACCAAGCCTGACGTGTCCTCAGGTGCCTGCAGCAGCCTCTGCCCAGGCTCCCCAGCCCCTTCCTCCCCGCCACCCTGCGCCAGACTGCGGACAACTGTGGCCACGTCAGGCAGGGCTGTGGGGCCAGCGAGCAGCTCCGTGCTGGGTCTCCCAAGGCAGCTGCCACAGGCCCGGTCCCCCCACGCCCTGGGGAGCAGCGGTACCTGACCAGAAGGGAGCGGAGGGGCCCTGAGAAGCAAAGCTGAGGCCCTGAGGACCGAGAAAAGAAAAGTTGTAGGAAGCACAGGAAGCTGCAAAGAGGCGAGAGAGAACGTGAGGCGGGCAGCAGGGCATCCATGCACAGTCACGGTGGGCACAGCTACAGGCTGGGGGGCATGGGGCAGGGCAGGCCCTTTAGCAGGAAAGGCCCTATAGGGGGCAAAGGAGGCAGGGGGCAGCGTGGGTTGTCAAGCGCCCCCCCCAGGCACAGGCGCCGCTCGGCTACACCTGAGCTACCCTAGAGCCAATCTCTGCACCTGTGTCCTCGAGAGCAAATGGGGACCACCTCCTCGCATGCCCTCGTCTGGCACCCAGCAGGTGCTCATTAAGGCCAGCTGTTCCTTTCCTGTCCAGCTCGGCCTGTGTGGGACCCATGGCCCTTCAGGTCCCTGCGGGCTGGAGGATGTGGGGTGACTCCGGACAGAGTCCTGAGCGGGAAGCCGCATGCTCTGGGCCTGCCCCTGCCCCTGATTCCATGTGGCCTTCCCTGTTCTGGATTGAGGAGTCCAATCTGCAAACAGGCTGCCTCTCACAGAGGAGGCCCAGGAGCTGGGCACAGACAGGGATCTGGGAACGGGTGGGCCTGCCCTTTTCTCTCCCACCAGTGACAGCTCCATGCGCAGGGGTCTCTGCCTGGATCTGGCCCCTCCAACCCCCGCTGGTCTCTGGATGAAGGAGCCAAGACAGAAGAGCAATTCTGAGCAGGTGCAGAGCCCCGCCTGTCACGTGGCCCAGGAGATGCCACACGATAGCATCTGTGACAGCTGGGGGCGCGGGCGGGGGGCTGGGGCTGTGTTCCCAAGGGTGGGACTCCTGGTCTGGGTCTGTGAGGGCAGGATCTGGGCCCTGAGAAATGGGCTAGGGCAGACCCCTCCGAGGAGTGCTGGTGTACTGGCTGGGCTGGGGCGTTACCTGGGGACCGGCTGGAGGCCCTGGAGGCCGAGCGTTCCCGGGACTTGTAGGGGTACTTGAGTGTGGTGTCCAGCTGCTTGAAGCTCTCCTTGAGTGAGTGGCACTGGTAGTACTCCACCAACTCCTGCAGGGCATACACACTCACTGACAGCTGCTGCCACCTCCAGAAGTCCCCCCCAGTGACCTGGCCTCCCTCTCCCACCTCCTGGTTCATGTGGGGGAGACGAGCTTCCTGGACTCCTCAGAACTCCCCACGTCCCCCCCAGCCCGTGGTGGGTGGTCAGTACCTCGAAGGTACCAGCAACTCTCCCAAAAAATTTCTAGAGAAAATAATCTGCAAAAGATGCCAAAAGACGGACCAGCACGGGCGCTGACGGCCAACAGCTTTTACAATGGAAAAACGGAAACTCTGTATCCAGCCCTTGGGGCAAGCTTCTAGAAATAACAGGATCTCTGGCCGGGCGCGGTGGCTCAAGCCTGTAATCCCAGCACTTTGGGAGGCCGAGACGGGCGGATCACGAGGTCAGGAAATCGAGACCATCCTGGCTAACACGGTGAAACCCCGTCTCTACAAAAAATACAAAAAACTGGCGGAGGCGAGGGTGGCGGGTGCCTGTAGTCCCCAGCTCTCGGGAAGACAGGAAGGAGAATGGCGTGAACCCGGGAGGCGGAGCTTGCAGTGAGCTGAGATCCGGCCACTGCAGCCCGGGCAACAGAGCAAGACTCCGTCTCAAAAAAAAAAAAAAAAAAAAAAGAAATAACAGGATCTCCAAGTGACAGAAAGAGCCACGCGGTATCTGTCAGGGAAGGTGGTGATGGTGAAGATATTGCTTGGCCTTGGCCTTGAAAAGTCGAGCTAAAACTCAGCTGAGAATTGCCCAGCATTGTATGTATATAATATAAAGCACACCTAAGCTGCGTGTAGAAAGTCCCTGAGAGGACTCACTGTGAGGTGAGAGAACACTGGTTTCCGCTTTTGTTTTTCTGGAGGTGGGGGATGGGATATTATGGATTTTCAACTGGGGCGGGTCTTGCTCTGTCACCCAGGCTGAGTGCAGTGGCTGTGTCTGGCTCACTGCAGCTGGAGTTCCAAGCAGATTGCCTCAGGCTGCATGGTGGGGACTACGAGTGGCCCCATGCCCGGCTTGAGCAACATGTTTTTGCAGACATGGGGTTTTGCCCGTTAGCCGGAAGGTCTCGAACTCCTGTTTTTTTGAGACGGAGTCTTACTCTGTCACCCAGGCTGAAGTGCAGTGGCACAATCTCGGCTCACTGCAACCTCCACCTCCTGGGTTCAAACAATTATCGTGCCTCAGCTTCCCAAGTAGTGGGGACTACAGGCATGTGCCACCATGCCCGGCTAATTTTTGTATGTTTTGTAGACATGGGGTTTTGCCACGTTGGCCAGGCTGGTCTCGAACTCCTGACCTCAAGTGATTCGCCCACCTTGGCCTCCCAAAGTGCTGGGATTACGGGCATGGGCCACTAGGCCCAGCCTGAGATTATGGATTTCTACTTGTCCTTGTGCTTTTCTGTGGCCATAGCGGGGAAGCTAAGAGCTTGGGGGCTCTAGTCAGGAGTTCTCAATATATACAATGTTTGTAATTAAGAAAAGAAAATGTAGGCATAACTTTAAAATCATTTCAAGAACTATGCCTCTAACTGCATTCCGGCTGGGACGGAGGGTAGGGGTGAGTCAGGGAAGGAGTTGTTTGAAGCCATACATGTATAATGGGGCTACCCAGCCAGGCCCCAGCTGGAAGCCCCACTGGGCGTCAGTTTCTGCTCTCGCAGGAGGATGGCATGAGAGGAATCTGGGGATGCTGGTGGCCTGGGCTGCCCCCACCCCACCCCTGCACTGTCCACCAGGGTCAACCACCTTGCCCAGGCTTTGGGGGTCAGAAGTCCCAATTCAGGAGGCTGTGACACAGCTCTAGCTGTCCTGGTGCCTTAAAAACCAGTTCCCTAAATCTTTCCCACACTGGGAAGAATCAATCCTCACAGGAAACATGGCCACTTGCTCAGGGCCGGGAGGAAGCACCTGTTCCCTGTGGCTGGGGATGGGAGCCGGCTGGAGCCGTGTCACTTACCAGGAGGCTGTCGAATTTCTTGGCTTCTGTGATGTGGATCCAGTTGTCCTTCTCCACCACCTTGATGTGCTTCACTTCATCGTTGAACCTGGGCAAACACATGGCCCCAGTGGTCACTGCATGACGGCCACATGGCCCCGGACCCCTCGGCAGCCAGGCTCATTCTGTTTGCTGTAGCAAAGTCCCTCGCCCCCAGCCCCTAGGGCCACTCCCTGTCAGCCCTGTCCTACCCCAGCCCTTCAGGCCACCTGCCTGCCTGCCCTCCTTGCTCACTTGGGGCCCAGAATCCCTGGCTGCTCAGCTCCCCACCTCTCCTGGCCTCCAGCCCTGCTGAGGCCTCCCATCCTGGGCTTCTGCTCATTTGCTTTTCGGCACCAGGAGCCTCTTCTCCTCCCTGTGGAGCAGCTGGGCCCAGCCCTGATATCTCCTGACATCCTTCCCTGCATGTCCACTTGGCCAGCCAGGCCTCGGGTCTGCTTCTCACAGGTGCCAAGCACAGGCCTGTCTGGGCCTCGGCACCAGCTGCTGCCCCTGCCAGATGCTCACCTCCTTCTGTTCTCAAGGCCCCCTTAGGTTCTCAGGCCTCAATTCAAAGGTGACCTTACAGAGCAGCCCCCATACCCCTCCCCTGAATGCCACCCACCCCCTTGCCAGATAGACATCACAAGAGAACTACAGCCCAATGTCCCTAATGACTATGGAGGCAGAAATCCTTAGCAAGCAGTTGACAAACCAAATCTCTCTCCCATACCGTCAGGCGGTGTTTAACCACAGAGACCTGTCCTGAGAGATGCAGGCAGGCGCTTCCGTCACTGTACGAACGCCACGGAGAGCACTTATATAAGCCTGGACGGCAGAGCCTACTGCACACCCCACACCTAGGCTGGACGGCAACACCTAGGCTGGACGGCAAAGCCTACTGCACACCCCACACCTAGGCTGGACGGCAGAGCCTACTGCACACCCCACACCTAGGCTGGACGGCAGAGCCTACTGCACACCCCACACCTAGGCTGGATGACAGAGTCTATTGCTCCCGGGCTACAGACCTACTGAATACCATAGGTAGTTGTAACATGAGGTCAGCATAGAAAAGGGATGGTAAAAACACAGTAGAAAAGATAAAAAACAGGACAGCCATATGGGGCGCTTATCATGACTGGAGCTTGCAGGCCTGGAAGTTGCTCTGTGTGAGCTGGAGAGTGGTGAGTGAATGTGAAGCCCTAGGACATTGCTGTGCACCACTGTAGACTTTACCAACGCTGGACACTGAGGCTACACTACATTATTTTTAAAATGTTCTTTCTGGCCGGGCGCAGTGGCTCACGCCTGTAATCCCAGTACTTTGGGAGGCAGAGATGGGTGGATCATGAGGTCAGGAGATTGAGACCATCCTGGCTAACACGGTGAAACCCCATCTTTACTAAAAATACAAAAACTAGCCGGGCATGGTGGCGAGCACCGGTAGTCCCAGCTACACGGAAGGCTGAGGCAGGAGAATGGCGTGAACCCGGGAGGCAAAGCTTGCAGTGAGAGGAGATCGTGCCACTGCACTCCAGCCTGGGCGACAGAGCGAGACTCCGTCTCAAAAAATAAATAAATAAATAAATAAAAATAAATAAATAAATAAATAAAATGTTCTTTCTTCAATCGTAAATTAGCCTTAACTTACTGTCACTCTTTTACTTCATAAACTTTTAAATTTTTGTTAACTTTTTGACTCTTGGGTAATAATACTTAGCTTAAAACACAAACACATTGTACAGCTGTACAAAAATATTTTATTTCTTTGTATCCTTATTCTATAAGCTTTCTTCCGTTTTTTTTCTTTGTTGTTGTTGTTTTTACTCCTATGATAACAATGCCTTCTTCTGGAATGTCTGCTGAGGGACTTGCCTGAGGCTATTTTACAATTAAGTACTTTTTTAATGAGTAGAAGGAGTATGCTCTAAAATAAAAAGTACTGTATAGTGAATCCATAAACCAGTAACACAGTCAGGTATTACAATGATCACATACTATTTATGTGCAGAATTGTTTGTGCTATGCTTCTATATGACTGGCAGCACCGTAGGTTTGTTCACACCAGCATAACCACACTCACATGAGTAATGGGCTGAGCTCTGATGTTACCAGGCCATGGGAACTTTTCAGTTCCGTTATAATCTTATGGGACCATCGCTACATATGGGGTACCTCACAGACTGGAATGTCATTCTGTGGCCCATGATTGTATTTATCTACATAAACCAGACGCATAGCAAGGACTCCACACCACAACCAAGTGGGACATTCCAGGAATGCAAGGTTGGTTTAACATCTGGAAATCAGCTAATGTAATAAACAGTTGTTAAACAAATGGTGGCCTGGCTGCCTGGTCCTCTGTGAGGCCTACATACAGCACCCATCTTGTTTCTCCCTGGATTTAATGTGTACCATGAGTGTGTGTGACCCACCTCCAGCTCCCAGTCGGCACGGCCCATCTTAGCCTCCTGCAGGCCAGGCATACAGAAGGCTTTCTGAGAATTTTCTTTCAGGTGAGCAATGTCCCACCAGCTCAGGGCTTGGTGGGCTCCAGCCCATCAGGGTCTGTCTCTTGGAGAGTTAACTACAGCCCCACAAGGAGGCACTTCCCAGGGAGAGGGTATAGGGCAAGAGGATGCCCAGACTGTGCCAAAGCTGCAAGGCAGCAGTAGTCACAGGAGACACCCTCCTAGGACCCTGGCTGCCTCAGAGCAGTGTGACAGGTCCACTGTCTCAACCTGTGGGGCTGCTGGGAAATCCCTGAGCTCACACAGCACTTCACCCACCCACTTGTACCTGAGCTTATCTTGTTCCTATAACCCAGAAATGTCCAACCTAGCCCACAGGGTAGCCAGGAGTGATGTAAACTTGGACCATCTGTGCATGCCACACAGGGTTTCAGGCCCTGCCCAGCACACCTGTAGAGACCCCCTGGGTCCTCAGTACCACTTTCATCTCAACAATGTCCTCACTTGGGCAACAGATGACATGTCCACCCCAACCCCACAAGCTCAGGACGTGGAGAGGACAGTGGTCTCCACTTCAGAACGGCACTGGGAGATGGGTCTCCTCGAGCCCAGAGCCACCACTTACTTGATGCTTATTGCAAAGCGCTCAGCCTCAGCAGGCCGCTCCCTGATTAGGTAGGTCCCGCTGGCGTGGGACTTGAGCAGGTTGTCCGTCTGCTGCCTCTCCATGTTACCTGCAAACCTACAGGAGGGGGCCAGGAGGAAACGAGAGACGCAGTGAGGACAGTGTCTGAGGGGTGCCTAGCCCTCCGTGCGTGGCAGGCCACATGAAGTACTCTGCAGTCCTCATCTGAGAGCTCATCTCCTAATGAACCCAAGAGAACAGACTGGGTCCCTATGAGTAGGGCACCACTGTGGGTGGGGTCTGACATCTGACCCTGCCTACGGTGGGATACAGTGAGGCTCAGGACAGATCTTGAGAGGGGTAAAAGAGAGGGGTGACTGTGGCCGCCAGCCAGTCCCATGGGCTGTCTTCTGCTCTACAGACCCCGAGGGCCTGCCAGAGGAGTACAGAGTATTCAGTAGATCCAATTTCTTTCCTAGACTATATTTTTACTATTTCAAAAGCAGTAAAGGCATAACTGCTTATGTGGATTTTTTTGCTAACACCTTGGAGATTGCCAACATCTATGCCAGTTGAATTTTGAACAGACTTTGAAACGAAGCTCTTCCTGCCACCTGTACGTCTGGTGGGTAATGAAGCCCACCCTGGGAGGACAAGGCGAGCGCCCTCCCAGAACCTGCTGCCACGCTGTCAGGAGAGCTGGGACTTCTGTGGTTCCAAACAGCCTCACTGTTCCCACCAAGCAACTGTATTAAGTCAGTAAGTGGATTACACCTGTGACCTTAAATATACCACTTTTACATAGTGCACATAAAATTTTAAAAGGGCTTCATTCCCTGAAATATCTGAGCCAGCTGAGCCGTTTTAGAGAGGGTTAACAGCCGCCCACAGGAGAAGGACTCCCCCAGGCTCCTGGCAAGTTATAGGCCAGGAGGGAGAAGGCATTTGGGAGCCACTGGGCTCAGTGCCCTGGAGACAGCAAGAGGCAGCCTGGGGCCTCCACCCTGCCGGGCCACTCACAGGCACCACCCAGACCCGGCGGGCATGCCCCCATAACAAAGAGGCCACCAGATGCCCACATACGCAGCCCACGATCCACTCACCAGGGGTATGCAGTGTAGTCGATCTCCCGGGACGGCGGCCGGCTGATGGGCGGCTGGTGGCAAAGCACAAGAGTGTTAACGTCCCCCCAGGGCCACCCACAGAGCGGGGCTCAGAGGAGGTCACTGTCGGTGACCTAACCCCCAGGCCTAACATTGGCTACCCTGGATGGGACTGTCTGTGGACTTAGCCCCAGTGCTCCTGGCCTGGGAGGTGCCCAAGGGCAGTGGCCAGGACCACCTCATCTCTGAGTAGATGCCCCACAGGTCTGATGGAACAGATGCTAGCATAGCCACCAGCTAACACTGACATGGTCCCCTGGGAGGGCAAGGACCGAACGTGTGGGGAGTTCTCAGCTCGGTGGACGTGAGCACACCCAGAGCCAAAGCTCCCTGCTCCAGAGGTCCCGAAGCCCTGGGGTGGGGGTCTGGTGGTGGCCACACTCAGGTGGGTGCTGCCGCTCCAGTGAGCAGGTAGGGCTCCCTCCCTAGCTACAGCCCCCCACCCTGGCCTCACTGGACCACAGGCTGGGCAGTCTCAGAGATTACCTCTTCCCTCGCACCCTATTCACCATGCAGATGGGGTAACTGAGGCCTGAGGAAGGGAAGGGACCTGCCCCAGGCCACCTAGTGAGTTCGTGACCCTTGTCCTCCCCTGGTGCCTGGTCCCCTTGGTCATCCAAAGCACCTTAAGTGCTGAGCACTTGCCCGTTCAGCAGAGGTGGCACACAGGCTGACAGAACCGGGGCTGGGGTGGGGGGCACCAGGGCTGCCACAGTGGGGTTGGGCACCCACCCCCTGCACCTTCAGACGTTTCACACTTTCACTTTGACCTGTCCTTTTGGGGGTGGAGGTGGGGTAACTCATTTTACTCAAGGCTGACTGCTGCCTTTCGTCACAGAGCCGAGAATTTGCTCCATACCCCTCAGATGAAAGCAACACCATATTGCCTTTGTTTTAAATAGCATAAAGTCTAGCTTTGAATCCATGAATCCATATGGTTGAGGGGAGCCTTTTTTTTCTTCTAAGGCTGCGTAATAGTCCAAGAGAACTTATAGAGTCCCCGAAATCTGGTGAAAGGCAGCTGGCTGGTCTTCACCCCATCACAGCTGCTGCAGAGATGCCCATTTTGGTGTTTCGAAAACCACAACGAGATGCCACCCGATGGGCTGAGCCCTTTACACACAGGAGAGCATGCTGCCCCGCGGCCCCCACCCATCTTCTCTCTGGGCTCCAGCTCGAGGAAGCAGCTCACAGCAGCCTAAATTTAGCAAGGACGTCCCGAACAAGCCAAAAATGTCCACGTGAGGAGACAGCTCCCAGAACCCTCAGCACCCAGGCCACCGTGCTCCGGAAGCTTCTGTGGGAAAGGACTCACCCTTCCATCCACAGGGCAGGGCTTCACAGATGAGCTGGGGAAATACCCTGACTTCCTGGTTTGCACCAGACGACCCTGGCAGAGGAAAGAGATGGTTAGGACCAGGGGGCCGAGCCTGGCCTATGGGAGTGTGGGGCCATGTAGATGGACTCAATCCCGGTCCTGGAGGGTGGGAGAGCCAATGTCTTCCTTCCCAACCTCAGCTGACCTGGGAGCCAGTTAAGGCAGGAAGGTGCCGGGCGTCCCACCCTAGACACGAGAGCACTAAGGCCTGGCAAATCGGCAAGCACCTCTGCAAGGCCCTCCAAGAAGCTGGCAGTCCTGTTCATACCCAGGGAGGGACAGAGCAGGACTGAGACTCTGCACAGCACACATGGCCTTTTGTGCCCTCTGAACCTCCCGTTATATGAATGTAGGGTCTGGCACAAGAAATTCATCACCGACTATGGACTGATAATGACCATGACAAAACAACCACAGCATCATTGTAACCTGAACATTAATACACGTTCGGCTCTAACGTCAGCTCCCACGGGAGGCTGCCTTGCTGGGCTAAGTGCTATCAAGGTCCTGTGGTGCTCTGCTGACCTGCGGGTCTTGGGGCTCCCTTGAGCACTGGGGCTTGGTAGAGAGGCCTAGGAGCAGGTGTCTGAGTCCTTGGCTCAGACGCCCCAGTGCCAGCATGCTCAAAGACGTGGGGTCTCAGTGTGTCAGGAGGAAAGCAAATGCTCCCAGAACCCTTTACAGCCCAGCCATTGGCTGAAGGTGGGGATGAACACCCACAGAGGTCTCTACTCTGGAGGCCTTGGAAACAGAGCAGCACATTCCTGGCTCAAAACCATAAACCATATCACGATGACGCCATTTGTACCCACCTGGGGAAGGAGCGAACCTGCCCACTCACCCCACGATCGCGCGAAGGTTGCTGACCTGAACTGAGGTAGGGGTGGGGAGGAGGGTGGGCATGGCGTGGCCAGGACAGAAGCCTGAGGAGGGTCTATGGGACACAACAGAGGCAGGAAGGACAGGGGCCAATGGAGAAAGGCCTTGGTGCCAGGGCAGGATGGCCTCTCCCGGGAAGGGACGCTGCATCCCCTACCATGTGAAAGCAAACACCGTGGGAAAGACTAGGCTAAGGTTCCCAAGAACGCATGCCACGGTGCAGAACGGGGACACTGAGGCAGGACAGGCCTTGCTAGCCACCCTGTGCCTCCTCCCTGGTGATCTCTCAGCCCTCTGCCTCTGCCTGGGATGTGCAGGACTTCATGCTTCTGCCCCAGGGAGCAGGCAGGCGCCAGAGCCAGGGACCCTCGACCCTCCCAGGCCCCAGGACCCACCTCCCACCACGGAGACTCAGGGTCACCCCTCAGCAGCTCAAGCACGTCACCCGTCTGGAAGGTCAGCACAGGCTTCCCGGGAGGGGCTGGGTTGCCATGGTAATTCTGCATGGCCACCATCTTGGGACCTGCAAAGGACAGGACAGCTCACTCGGTGACTCAGCAGCTCGCTCGGTGACTGACTTGGCCCCGGCCCGCAGCCCACCCCATCACCGAGCTCGGCCTCCCCCAGCACACACAGCCCTGCGCCTGCATCTCCCCTCCCTAAATCCTTCCCATAAGCCTCGTGTCTTTTTGATAAATATCATAAGTAAATTATTCATGCAATAAACAGATTCAGGGGTCATCACGGAACAGCAACTTATTTTCAGATGGCACTTCGTGCTTTCTTCCAACACCCTTCAGATCTGTGGCCCCCAGGCAGCTGTGCGGGGCAGAAGACGAGGGATCCCTCGTGTCAGAGACGGGTGATGGGTCAGCAGGCCCAGCAGCTTGCCCAAGGCCACAGAGCCCACAGAGGAGCTCTGGGCCTGAAATGGGGATCCTGGCTGTGCCCCTGGGGAATCTGGAGGCTGCTCTTAGACAAGCTTTGCTCCGACCCAGCCCTGCCTGTAGCTCTCAAAAAGCCCACGTCTCTCCCAGCCCAGCTCCCTCCTGGTCCCAGCAGCAGCGGTGTTTTCCATCTTTTGTCTTCTGCTAATGAGGGTGAGGTTGTACTGAGCACTGCCTGGACTGCACTCAAGTTTGCAGATAACACGATGCTTTCTACGCTGTGTCTAAAAACATGTTTCTATTAAGTAACCCACAGCAAGGCAGGAAGGGGATAGAGGATGTGGTGGGAAGACGGCAGTGCCTTTTGGTCTCAGGTCTCTGGCTGCAGCTCCGTGCCCCTCCCCGGCTAGAAGGCCCTTGCCCCTCTGCAGGCTGGGTCCTGTCCCCACAGCCTGTTGCTGCCTTATCAGAAACAGAGCCAACTCCCAAGGAGGTGCCACGGAGGCCAGAGAGGCAGGAGGGAGGGGCCCCAGGCAGCGGCATCCAGGAGCCTGGAGCAGCTGGTGGCTGGGCAGACCCGGCCATCCCCACACCTAGGCCCTGGCTCAGCTCCCAGGTGACGGCTGACATGGGTGACAGCAGAGGGTCCAAGTCCAGATGACTCACCTGGTCCCGCTCCGGAGGCGTCCTGTGAGGACAAGGACAGAACACAGTGATGAGAGAAAGCTGCTCCTTGACTGTGGTCAATGCACTGACCCACCCCCCTCCCTGTCCCCACTTATTCCCAGATAGAGGGACCAAGGCAGGAGCAGGGGAGGAGAGGGACACTGTTCTCTGTGTGACTCCCACCCTGGCAATATACTCCACCTCTGTGCACCTCCACTCCTGGAAGGTCTGTGCCCTTCCCTCTCCCTCTCCTTACCACGAGCCCCCACCTCCTCCAGGAAGCCCGCCCTGACCACCTGCTCTGAGCCTGGGCTTTGTGGTCTCCATCTAGGACACACAGTGCCAAATACAACGAAGTTTCCCTCCTCCATGAAGGCTGGTTCATGTGGACCTCATAGCTCAAGGGGTACATGAAGCCCCCGGAAGTGACTCCATCCCCACATCAGCTAAAGAGAGGGCTCTGAGCCAACGGGGGGACTTGGGGACAGGAGGGCTGGCGCGCAGCACCCAGAGCTGTACCCACAGCCGCAAGCAGCCAGTGGGCAAGGGAATGGGGGGGCAGCTGGGATAGGAAGACAGCGCTGGGGCCCCTAGGAGGACTCTACTGACACCCACCAAGGAAAGCAGAGGCCTCCTGTGACTGAAAGTGGCTCATCCAAGCCGGTGTGGCTCCAGGAGTGGTGAGAGGCAGACAATTGGGTATTTCTGGCTCTGGGCACACAGGGCTGTGGCGGGGGCGGGAGCAGAGGGAGGGGAAACAGTTTGCGGACTTACCAGATCTGCAGGAGAAGCTGGAAAGGAAGCAGGTCCGGTGTTAGAGGGGAGGCCACTGATGCCAAGGCCCCGTGTGGCTCTCACTCACACCGACCCGAGCCTCTGGGACAAGCTTAAGATGGTAAGTGAGCCAAGCTACAAAGTGGTCTGTTTTGGACATGGATCATGGACACGCAGGTTTAAGCTCATGGCTGTGAAAGCCTCTCGGTTACTTCTGGCAGCAAATTCTGAGCTCTGGCTTTAGGGGGCCTGTGGGAGAACTCGGACCAGATAATAGACCTGAGCTGGCAAAAAGGTTGTCCCGCCTGGGCCACCTCTTTTGAATGGCGGCAGCTGCCTGGATCACTGGGTGGTACGTGGCACGCAATGGGGAGATTTCCACAATCGCTTAGTGATGCCTGCTGGGGCAAGTGATGAGAAGGCATCGGTAGGCGTGCTACCTGCCACAATCGCTTAGTGATGCCTGCTGGGGCAAGTGATGAGGAGGCACTGGTACGTATGCTACCTGCTTGCCATCCTCAGCTCAGACACCCAGGTGCCGACATGCTCAAGGACACCAGACCTCAGCGTGTCAGGAGAGCCAATGTTCCTAAGACCCTTTAGGGCCCAGCCATCTGGCAAGCTGGCTGCCACCCACCACCAGAGGAGGCAAGAAGCCCCACAGCTTACACACACGGCTGACGTGACCTCCACCCCACCCAGCACTCACAGTGCAGACGGCCCTGGACAGACAGGTATCCACAGACACCAGAGAACAGGTTCCAGCTCAGTGGGCAGGGGTCGGGGGGGCCAGCTGGACAGCAGCTATGACTGTGCCTGATGAAGGCTTCCCACAGGAAAGGCTCTCAGGAGAGGCCAGTATCTCTCTAGGGTATCTCAGCCCCCATGGGCAGCAAACAGCTAAACCAGCCTGGGCAGAGCCCAGAGGTGAAAGCTACAATGGTCAAAGGAACACTGCCCAGAGCCAAACCACAGAGCAAAGGTAGAAGCCTGGACCAGAGGGAAGGCAGCTTGGACAGTCTTAAGGGAAAAATGGCTACAGGTGGCAAGGATAGTGTCTCCCGGCAGAGGGATGAGGAAGGGGACAAGGACACAGGCCCTGGGGGAGTCCCAGGTCCCTGAGGATGGAGCTGGTGCCAGCCAGGGCACTGCCAGCACATAGGAGAATGCGGACGGCAACGCTGGCTTCCAAAAGACCTGCAGTTGCCTCTCTAGTGGAACCCTAACTACACATATTAGCAAAAATTGAAAACCACACAGAGGTGGGGCGGGCGGGCGCACACGTCCGCAGAAAGCAGGACAGTGCCCGGGGCCTCGCGGCAGCTGGCTTTGCCTGGGGATAGCAGGAGTAGTTTTTCTCTCCTCCTTTACACTTCTCTACATTTTCCAAATTTTCTATGGAAAATCAGTAATTAATAATCGGGGGCAAAACCAGAAAAATCACAGAAAAAGAAAACTTGGAAAGAAATATACCAAAATACCGCCTTTCGTTATTTCTAAGTAAGTTCACGGGTGATGCTTTCTTTAAAATTTCATTTCTTTTTTTCTTTTTCTCCAAATTTTTGGTAAGTAAATGTATTACTTTTAGAATCAGAAAAAGAAAAAAAAGGTTCTAAGTGGCTGCAGCCAGTCGTCTGGGAGAGGGACACGTGGCCACAAGAGGGCAGTATGGATGGACACAGCTGAAAAGCCGCATTCAGGCCACAGGCTGCCTGCAGAATCCTCCAGTACTAACTCCAGGGGCTGCGGGATCCTGCGCACAGCTGGGGGGCTGCACTGGGCCTGTGGTGGGGACAAGGGGGTCCGGGCTGACCTTCTGGCCCTCTCCCTGGGTTAGGGTACTGGGCTGGCACTCACAGTAAATGATGAATTAACTATTGATCTAAAGTCACAGCTCAAAATGTATTCCGGGCGCTGGCGTCTCCGGGTGACAAGCTGGTCTGACTTGTTTTTTTGTCTTAAAACACTTGCAGGAGGCCCAAAGGAGACAAGACCCAGAGACTCGGCCTGGGGCCACCGGGGGCTCCTTGTTGAACGGAAGCTCCGCTAAGAGGTGTAGACAAATGGCCGAAAGTTTCAAGCCTCAGTTTCTGGGGCTGATGATGGAGGTGACATCCTGATGTCTGAAACCTCTCTGGAGAGAACCATCTCAGGCTTTGCACCGCTGTCCAGCTGCCCGGAGCTGGGCACAACCCCAAATGTATGCCCCACAACCCAAGATGCTTCAGGGGAGCCTCCAGGGGGCATCTCTGCCTCTGCCCACTGCCAGTCTGGCTCAACCCTCTCCCCTCCCTGAGCCTCAAGCTTCCCTAAAGGGGCATGAACAGAAAGGAACCACTGTAAGTGCCATGTGTGTACACGTGCATGTGCGTGTGTGTCTGAACCATTTACTGACATGGCTACAGCTACTGATGGCCAGGCCTCACCCACTGGGAGAAGCCAGGGTGACCGGCGTTTCTGTGATGAGAAACCTCCATGCACCCATCAAGAATGTTCTGTGCCGGGTTTGGGGGTGGAGATTCCAGAAGCTTCCTCCCGGAGCGGGGCAGGGGATGTAGGAGATGGGGAGGGGTCCTCGAGTACCCATTAGGAGAGAGGGCTTGGAATGGAATTCATCCCGGCTGTGTCTACTGATAAGTGTGCGACGTGTGGCAGGTGTCTGCCCCATGGGAGATGGTGCCTGAGGCCCAGTACCCGAGTGGTAGAGGGCAGAAGTGAGTGGGCACAGTCAGGGACTCGGGGGTACTCACTAAACTTGCAGGGAGGGATCACTTCCAGGCACTCCTTGTGTGCCCCGACGCCGCACTTGGTGCACATGTATCCCTGGTAGAAGGTGCCCCTGCACAGGGGAGGGCGGGAGGTGAGGTCGAGGCTGGGGCCAGCTCCTCACGCCTCTCTGCCAAGGTCAAGGCCCTTGTTCCCACCCAGGCTCACCTGGCTGGCTCCCTCCCAGCACACACATCCCTCACAGCCCTGAGTATCCAGGACCCTCCTTTACCAGGCAGCCTGACACCTGCTTTCCCCTACTTACCCCAGCCTGCCTCCCCGCCCCACACAGCATCCCGGGCACCCAGGAACAGTCACCCCCGGCTAAATCTGAAACTCCAACGGCTTGGCTGGGCCTCTTTTTTTTTTTGAGACAGGGTCTCACTCTGTCACCCAGGCTGGAGCACAGTGGTGACATCACAGCTCACTGGAGGCTCAACCTCCAGGGCTTAATCAGTTCTCCCACATCAGCCTCCTGAGTAGCTGGGGCCACAGGTGCAGGCCAACACGCCTGGCTGACTTTTGTATTTTTTGTACAGACAGAGTTTTATCATGTTGCCAGGCTGATATTAAACTCCCGGGCTCAAGCGATTCGCCTGCCTCAGTCTCCCAAAGTGCTGGGACTTGAGCCACCATGCCTGGCACGGGCGTGACTCTTGTGGGATATACTCCCTTAACCCCTCAGGGCCTCCCACAGGGAACACAGGACAGACAGAACACTAAGCTCCCTCGGGGGCCTGGGGTGGGCGTGGATCCAGGTGAGGGCTGAAGGAGGGGGTTTCCTACCTGAGGAACATTTTGCAGGCTTTGCAGTTGGTGGTCTTGTCAAACGTGTACATCTGGAAACTGTGGTGGTTGGCATTGGCTTTGTCCGGCTTGATGTTTGACCTGGCAGGAGGGAAAGAGAGCAGACGCTACACCCACCAGATTCCCCGAGCCCCGTCATGCGGCCATCCTGGGAACTAGCTGGGCTCCAGACCAAGGCTGTGCAGAACCCGGGAGGGCCTGGACTCCAAGCCTGGCTCTGCCCCCGACACAGGGCAGACTTGGGGCCCAGACTCCCTGCTGGTAGAAGGCAGGTCAGACAGGAAGCTTTAGCACTGCTGCACTGGCCTGACAGAACCTTCCAGGTGGCGGTGGTGGTCTAAGGTCCTGACTGGGATTAGATGTGGGCAGGTGTGGGCATTTGTTGAAACTCAGAAAACATATGCTTAAGATTTGTTTGCCACATTGGATATAAGCTTGAAATTTCAGAAGCTAAACAAATACTGGGCCCCTTGAGGTACGTAGCGGGGCTGCCCTGGTGTGCAATTCACTTTGACACAGACCCGCTGTTGGGTGGCCAGGGGTAGGGTGGGGTGACGCGGACGGCGGCGGCGTGGTGAGAAGACGGCTATTCACCATCATGTTGCTTCAGCTTCCGTGAACACTTGAACTTCTCCACAATAGGATGTTGGGAAGAAAATTACAGGCCAGGGAAAGCAAGTGGCCAAAGAGGAGATGCCCCAGGCCTCCCTCACAGAGCCTGGGTGCAAACCAGCTGGCTGCATCTATTCCCACGAGCCAGGCCCTGGCCCCGCTGAGTCCAGTGGTTCCCTTTCGATCCTCCCAAGAAGTCCGGAACACAGGCCTTCCCCTCTCCATTTCACCAGCGGAAACCGTCAGAGAGGCGAGCACACCTGCCCACAGAGCTCAAGCACAGACGACCCTGCTGGCCCTCCAGGGTCCGTGTTCCGGGAACCCACTCATCACCTTTCTCTGTTTCACGTATCTAGGGGTACCCTCTTGGATTTCATGGAAAAATAGTTCAGTGGCTTCAAAAACAGGTGTCAAGCCACCAGCCCGTAAGACCCTGAAGACTGGGATCACCAGGAATCCTCTAGCATCATGGCCACTCCCAGCCGGTCACTGCTCTGTGGGCCAAGCGTGCCAGGCTCAGCCTCAGGGGTGGAATGGCTCATTCCAGCAGGACAGCGGAGCCTGCCTGGGACAGGCTGTGGCAGAGGGAGAGCCCTCTCACTCCGGATCGATTGTTAAAGAGGATGCCACCGAGGGAGGCTGGCGTCCCAGGGGTGATGGAGGTTGTCTGTGTCCCTGACATTCCAACTTTGCCTCCCTCCACCCCTGGTCTGACAGGAGTCACAGACATAATCCACCTGGGCTTCCGCCCCCCATACAACTGATCTGCGTGGGACCTGGGGGCTGCCACCTGGAACTCACATGGCCATCTCAAACTGCTCCATCCACTTCCTCTTCATATCTTCTGTTTTGCAGAAAAACTGGAAACCCTGCTTTCCTTGAAGGTGAATTAGGTAGAAGCCGTAGGACCACTGCAGGGGAGAGAGGCCATGCTTGCCACGGACACGGCTTCAGACATCCTGGCATGTGCCCATGTGTACTCTTGCCTGTGCGGTATGTGCACGTGTGTATATGCATACACGCATGGGTGCCCATGCCTGTGTGAACACGTTCTCATGTGTGTACCTGCACTCTTGCCCACGCTGTATGTGCACACGTGTCTCTGTATGCGTGCATGCATAGCTGTGCGCCCGCATCCTCACGTGAGAATACATATGCGCTTGTGCCTTCACCTGTGCATGCACGAGTGTGCTGTGTGCGTGGGTGTGCATCTGTGCCCGCACGCGTCTATGTGTGTGCACCTGTGCCTGAGTGTGCCCAGTGCTCCTGTGAGCATGTGTACACACGCACTTGTGTCTGTCCCTGCAGGTACACACATGCTCTAACATGTATGATGCGTGTGCACCCATGCTGTGTGTGCTCTCCTGTGGGTGCACACACATGTGCGTGGGCAGATCTGCACACCTGCCTGTGCTCGTGTGCGAGGATGCTCCACCGAGTGGATATGTAGATGCATGTTCAGTGCGGGCAGGACCCCAGGGAGGATGAGCTCAGGGCCCCACCCAGGGCCCCTCCACGAGGCCTGACCACCCACTTTCACTTCCTAAATGTGATGCTAAAAAAACTTCACTTCTCTGAAGTAGAACAATAACAACAAAAAGGCAGGGAACAGCCATGGGCCTGGGGCACCCTCTGCGAAGCCATCCCCCATTGAGCAACCCACAGCTACCCCCTTCCCTGCCTCCCCTTCAGCCACCCCACAGGCCTCGCCATCTCTCCGAGCCCTTGGACAGAGGGCTGTCAAAGTGGTTCAGAAAAAAGAGTTTGGCAAATAGGAGCCTACTGGGTTAGAAAAGATGGCGGGAAAGAGGAAGGAAGGGAGGGATGGAGAGAGGAAGGGCGGAGCGGGATGGGAGGAGGAAAGACACAAGGAAAGAGAGAGGAAAAGGGGAGGAAGAGGGAGGGAGGAGGGACAGAACACAGAAAAACAAAAAGGATGATGGAGAGCTGAAGAGAGACCAAGAAACCCCAGCCTCTGGCCCGAGCTCCAGTGACTGAGGGTCACAGGGTTTTCCTTTCACACTGTCTTCGTGGGTCTTTCATCATGAATACAAATCATTTCATCATCAGGAGAGGGAGACGAGGACGGAGGACCAAGAAAACCAGGAGCCCAAGTCCTCAGGCCCCTGGGTTCCCTGGCTCCGGGCAGAAGTGCCAGCACCGGGCTGGGATGATTGAGGCAGGTGGGAGGACCTGGGCGCTAGGTGCTTACCATTTTCCCGTGAGACTAGGAAGCATGAGGAGAGGAGAGGAAGGGGGAGACGGTCAGTGAGAGGCTCGGCCCGGCCCCGTGGTGGGTGCTGTAGGGTGGGGGCGCCAGGAGCCCTGGCAGGTGGGACATCCTCCAGTGCCCAGGTTGGGGGTGGGGCAATCAGTGGGAAAAGGACTTTCTTCCCCAAGTGTTGGGTGCTGGAGGCAGGGACTCGTGGGCCCGTTATTTGTCTTGGGTATCAGGGCAGGGAGGGTCACCCTCAACAGCTCATTCAGCCTGCACTCGCTGGGTCTGGATCAGGGCTATACTGCCAGCCCTGGACACCAGGGCCCGGACTTTCAGAACATGGGCTCCTGACCCCCCGCCCCCTGCCCCACCAGGGCTGAACACGGTAGGTGCTCAAGTGCCATGGGCAAAAGCCTCAGCTGAAGCAGGACTGAACCAGAGAGCCAGGCAGCAATAGCCCTGTAGCCATGGTCCTGCCCCACAGCAGGTTTGGCCCCACCCCTATAGCCCTGGCCCCACCCCCTGGCAGCCACAGGCCCCACCCCTGCAGCCCTGGCCCCGCCCCAGCAGCCATAGGCCCCCGGTCAGCTACGTGTAGAGTCTTGGACAAGTCACAGCCAGACCTACCCACAGCCCTCCTCCAAGCACTGCAGGGTGGGACGGGAGAGGAAAGCCTGCTTGCTACAAGGGACAACATGGGCTAGAGTCAGGCTGGTCAGATGGAAAGCCGAGGTTGAAAGCCCCACCCTCGCTAGAGGCCTTGGGCAGGCCTCTCCCCCTCTGCTCCAGTCGCCTCACTGAAGTGGGAGTGGGATTCTGGTCTCGCTCACCCATCTGGGGGGCGCTGGGCCCGGCGAGGAGCAGGGGTCATGATGGTGAGGCAGTGACTCAGAGGGGAAGCTTCCTGCAAGGTGAGGACGCTCACCCCAACCCGCCCGGCCAGCATCAGCGGCTGACTTCAAGTCCCCTTCCCTTGGGGTCTGAAACCCAGTGCCTCTCTCCAGGCCACCCCTACGCTCCTGGGTAGTGGGGGGCGGACCCGGAAGGCCCCACCTTCTTGACGTCCTTGTTGTTCATGGGGTCGTCAGTCATCTTGTGGAAAAGCAGCTCGATGATCTCCTTGAGCTCGTAGCTGTAACCCTTCCGCTTGCAGACGATGACCACCTTGTCAAACAGGAACAAGTACCTGGGCCAGGCAGCGCAGCGGGGCGTCAGCACCCCGGCACTGTGTGCTCTGCTCCGAGGAGGCAGCAGGAGCTCAGCCTGAGGCTCTGGCATGCGGCTCCCTCTCCAGGCGCACCCTGCCCTCACCTGGCTCACCAGGCTAACGCTGAGCCTCGGTCAGGTCTCGGCTGTTCCCACACTGCTTCTCCAGGAAGCCTTCCTTGGCTCCCTACCCTCGTGACTGAGGCTGTGTCAGGAGCCCCTTCAAGGGGCTCCTGCACCTCCCCGACACGGGCCTCCCGTGCAGCACTGAGCCCTGACGGCCACTCCCAGTTGGTTCCGCACTGGACTGGGAGCCTCAAGAGGGCGGGACCCAGATCTGCTGTGACCCCTGCCCCAGCGCACAGTAGGTGCACAAGGAGGGCCCTGGACAAGCCTGGGCCCCCGTGGGCCTGGACACTCTCTGGCAGTCATTTGGCAAAGAGCTCATCCAGCCACTCTAGGCCTGTCTTGGGTCCCCGGAGGCTGAGCACTGGCAGTGAGAGGCCTGGCCCTCACCGATGGCTGCCCCAGCCCAGCTTGGTGCCCGCCACAGGCACGAAAGCCCCACTGCCGTGGCGCCCGCTCGCTGACGAAAAGGAAGGAAGCAATTAAAACTGAACAACACCAAGCCACCACCAGGCAGCTCTTTCCACAGGAAGGCCCGGCTTCCAGAGCCACTTAGGAGCGGCTCCCTGGCAGGGAGAGCCGGGCCCTGGTGGGATGCCACCCAGCCCACAGCACGCGCCCCGCTCACCTGTCCTGCTTGGTGTGGTTGACTATGGACCGGACTTTCAGTTCCCCGTCAATCTTTGGTCTTCCAAATTCCTCCAGTTTCACTTGCTGGGAAGAAGGAGAGGGGCCGTCAGCCGGGGCTGGAACAGGCCCAGTTCTCCTGACCACACGGGCACGGCAGACTGTCGCGCACCGAAGGGAGCTCCCCACAGGCAGCAGAGGCGGGACAAAGGGAAACAGCCCCTGTGGCTCTCAGCTGGTGCTCAGGATGGACGAGGGAGGGTGCAGAAAACTGGGAAGGGACGAGGCCCGGCAGCTTCTGTCCTTTCCCTGGCCAGCCCCGCCAAGGGGCTCCCTTCAGCTCTGGGGACAAAGGGCGATTGATGGCGCCGGTTCTGTTCACAGGCCGCCACTGTGTGGAGCCCCAAGCGGGACCCGGCCGGAAAAGCCAGACGCCCAAGCCCGAGAACCCACGTTCGAGAGAAAACAAACAGCGCCTATCTACTGCAAGGCGGGTGGGGCCGGGGTCCTGCCGAGGGTGAGGGTTTGACTCAGACCACTGTGTGGTTCGCTGAGGTTTCATTTTCGTCGTCTGTCTGGTTTTGTCTCTGACTCTTCTGGTTCAGAGAGAGTTTCTCTTGACCTGTTCCCTGCGTGGCTTTCAAAGTGTCCATGCAGGCAGGAAAAGGTGGAGGAAAATGCTTTGAGATGTGAACAGGGCCCTGCCTGGGAGGTGCTTGAGGCACGGGCTCAGCGTTTCCTTCCAAGGTCTCAGCCCGAGGCTGCAAGGACAGCTTTGGTGCCACGCAGCCTCAGTCAACTTGCTCCAGGCCTCCGATCTCAGCTCTCACCACCTTCCCTGTGGTGATGGGATTCGGAGCCTGGACCAGGTACAGGGACTGGCTCATGGGGATGCTCGGTGCCTGCTGGCCATGCTGTTTGATTCTTGTTGTTGTTGACGTTTTTGAGACAGTCTCACTCGGTCACCCAGGCTGGAGTGCAGTGGCACAATCATGGCTCACTGCAACCTCTGCCTCCCGGGTTCCAGAGATTCTCCTGCCTCAGTCTCCCGAGTAGCTGGAATTACAGGCACCACCACCACGCCTGGCTAATGTTTGTATTTTTAGTAGAGGCAGGGTTTTACCACGTTGGCCAGGCTGGTCTCGAACTCCTGACCTCAAGTGATGCACCCACCTCAGCCTCCCAGAGTGCTGGGATTACAGGCATAAGCCACCGTGCCCGGCTTGTTCTTGTTGTTTAACGAACAAGTATTGCTCCTATGTAAAAACTTAAAAAACAAAACAAAATGAACTTTTCTCCTCACGTCCTGCTCACTGTACGCATTTGCAAATGCCTCGCGCAGGAGCTCACGGCAGCGTGGACCCACCACGTGCTGATGGCATGGGGTGTGGCCGTCCTCGGCCTCCTCTGCACCCACACTCTTTAATTTTTTTTTTTCTTTATTTTTTTTCTCTTTTTTGAGACGGAGTCTCACTCTGTCTCCCAGGCTGGAGTGCAGTGGCCGGATCTCGGCTCACTGCAAGCTCTGCCTCCCGGGTTCAGGCCATTCTCCTGCCTCAGCCTCTCGAGTAGCTGGGACTACAGGCGCCCGCCACCTCGCCTGGCTAGTTTTTTTTGGTAACTTTAATTTATTTCTAAAATGAAAGATGAAGGGGGCACTATCATAATGTCCTTCAGAAGCTTCTTTTTTTCTCTTTCATTGCCGATGTATCGCAGGTGCTTTTTTGTGCCCCGTGTTTGCGGAGGGCATTCTCTTCGTGCTGCTGGCACCGGCTGGGTGTGGCCTGGGCATCAAGGACCTTCCCCTGCTGGCTTCATGCGAGTGAAATCACCAGGGTGAAATGTTTGTGATTCACAACCAGGGGGTAATCCTGCCACCCAAAGGACCTTCTGGCAATGTCCAGAGGCATATTTGCTTGGCATCAGTTGAGGGGTTGGGGGTGCTACTGGCATCTGGTGGGTGGCAGCCAGGGACACGACTCCACATCCCGTAATGCACGGGGCGGCTCCCACAACCAAGAAGGATCCGGCCCCAAACGCCAGCAATGCTGAGGCGGAGAATCCCGGGTGAGAACCGGCAGATCCTCGGGAAGTCCGCTCTGGTCAGCACAGACCAGGGAATGTGCTTCCCGGGGTGGTGCGTCCCCTCTCCCCAGGCAGGACGAGGTGACTGACTCAGCAGCCCAAGCCTGGCCTCTGCAGCGCCTGGCTCTGGGGAGAGTCCCGGGAGGTGGTACCCCTGCCTGATGGAGTCCGAGGAGCAGAGGCGACTGCCGGCCCCACCAAGCCTGGGCCCAAACCCTGTCCATTGCCCCTGGAGGGGAGACTCAAGGTGAGGGTGGGCCAGGGGTCCAGGGACCAGGGGGCGTCTCCTGCCCCTGGGAGCCACAGTTCTCCTCTTGGACTTGAAGGGATCTTTTGTCTAGGCTGGGGGGAGAAAGGGGGCTGGGCAATGAATACAGTCCCTCCCCTGCCCCCTTCCCATCCGCTCCCCTGCCGCCTAAACACAGGCCGTCTTCAGCGCACAGGACACTTGGGTTGGCCGTGGTGGGCAAGGGAGCGTGGATGCTAGGGGGGTGATCTGAGATCGAACTCAGAAGCTGCCGGGCGCCACCCTCTCAACAGGCAGCCGTGGTGTGGCTGTCCGTGGAGCTCACTCAATACTGCGGCTGTGAACGTGACTTTATAGGCACCGTCCTCATCAACCTTCCCTAGCCTGAAAAGTCAGCCCCACTCACCAAGTTTTCTATAGAACTCTGAAATTCGCTGATTTTCCTCAAGGTCTCCTTGTCCCGTTTAACTTCATTGATGTACATCGCCAAGTCCTTGAAAACAAGAGGCAGAGGGTGAGCGGGCTGTGCTGGGTGGGGAGTGTGTGCGTGAGTGTGGTGTGGTGTGTGTGCGCGCGCACGTGTGTGTGAGCAAGCTGTGCTGGGTGTGTGGGGTGTGTGTGACTGTGTGTGTGTGAGAGCGAGCTGTACTGGGTGGGGTGTGTGTGTGTGATTGTATGTGTGAGTGAGCTGTGCTGGGTGGGGGCTGTGTGTGACTGTGTGTGAGGGTGTATATGTTTGAGCAAGCTGCAATGGATGGGGTGTGTGTGTGTGAGCGGGCTGTGCTGTGGTGTGTATGTGAGTGATTGTGTGAGAGCATGTGTGTGTGAGTGGGTTGCACTGGGTGGGGTGTGTGTGTGTGAGTGGGTTGTGCTGCGTGGGGTGTATGTGATTGTGTGAGAGGGTTGTACTGGTGGGGTGCTTGATTGTGTGTGTGTGTATGTGAGCAGTTTGTGCGAGGTGGTGTGTCTGTGTGATTGTGTGTGGCAGGCAAGCAGTGCCATGCAGGGTGTGTGTGAGCCGGCTGTACTGGAGTGGGGTGTGTGATTGTGTGTGTGTGGGCTGTGCAGCGGTGTGTGACTGTGTGAGCATGTGTGTATGAGCCGGCTGTACTGGGTGGGGTGTGTGATTGTGTGTGTATGTGAGCAGGTTGTGCCGGGTGGGGTGTGTCTGTGTGATTGTGTGTGTGAGAGGGTTGTGATGGGTGGTGTGTGATTGTGTATGTGAGCAGGTTGTGCCGGGTGGGGTGTATCTGTGTGATTGTGTGTGTGAGCGGGTTGTGCTGGAGTGGGTGTATGTGATTGTGTGAGAGGGTTGTGCCGGGTGGGGTGTGATTGTGTGTATAGCAGGCAGGTTGTGCCGGGTGGGGTGTGTCTGTGTGATTGTGTGAGCAAGCTGTGCTGTGCAGGGTGTGTGTGAGCGTGTGTGTGCACACAGGCACATGCATGCGGGCTCAGCCCCCAAGGACCTCCCCCACCCAGCATCCAGGTGCTAGGCGTTTCTGGACCTCCTTCCCCTCCCACCCTGCTGGGAAGCGGCCCTCGAGACAGGAGGGCCTGAAAAGCATCACCTCCACGAGACAGATGAGAAACTGAGGCAGGGAAGGGAACACACTGACCGAGCCACACTTAAATCGGTGATATGCCAAGAGCCCCAAACTCCTGGCTGGTGCTGCTTCTTTCTACTCCATCATGTGGTCATAAACATCCTAACGGAGGAAGCAGCCCTGTGTGCTCGGAGCCACATCAGACCACAGAAGAGCCACCTAGGCTTAGGCTGACCTGAGTCCCCGTTCTTGGGAGAGCTTCCCCTCCCAGCCTCTCCAAGCCACAGCTCCACTTGGAGCCTGGACAGAATGAGGTTCAGAAGTCCCTCTCTCCGCAGTTAGCCATCCCCAATCCAGCGCCCGTCTGCCGCTGCAGTCCTCATGTTGGCCACCAGGGAGGCAGTGCCACTTCAGTCAGACACAAAACGCATTATCTGGACCTGGCCGCGTGGGAACCCAGAGCCGGCCACGTGGGCGGTCCTGGCCCTCCCACAGAGCAGCCGGTGAGATTCCCCCAAAATGCAGTGACCAGCCAGAGCCAGAGCCAGAGCCAGGTCGTCCAGCAGGTTCCACATCCCTCCCATCCTTCCTCACGTTCCTAGAAGACTTACAGTCAGCTCCCACCCACCCCACAGCCGAGAGACTTCCTGGGCGGCTGCAGCGGCTGTCTGAAGGAAAGGGGTGTTTGTTTTCTTGTCCACTTGCCTTTAAGGCTGGGATCATTCCCAGGAGACAAAGGACCCCAGTGGCAGTCTAGAGCTCAGAACCCCGCCCCGCCACGCCAACCCCAACAGCAGAAACATTACAACTCCTGACCACCGTGGCCCCTCGTGCACCTGGACCAATGCCTGACATGAAACAGGAACAGATGGGAAGCTGCCGAATGAATGAGCAGGTGAGGAAATATCACCACTTTGATACAGAGCAGGACTGCAGTCAGCTCATGGAGCTCAGACCTAAAACCGCCATTCCCATGGAGACAAACCTCAGGCCCACAGAGGCACAGCGGCCGACTCTCAAGGCTGCTGCCTTACAAGGCGTGAGCTCTCAGTCCGAGGGAAATCAAGTCGTCATTCCAGGTACGGTGACGACTCTCCCAGAATGGCTGCATGAATGACCTATATAAACTGGGAATCGATCAAAGACTTCTAAAATCCCCCAGCCCTGAAGTCTCATACAGTGAGGTTCGGTGGCTCTCAGAAGGCAGCCGCACATGCGATCACAGAGTACTTTGTGCAGCACCGTGACTGCACTCCTGGGGAAGCTGTCCGTCGAGGAGCTCCAGGCCACCCGCCAGCCAGACACGACTGCTGAGTATAAACGCAAGACCACACTCAGGGCCGGGTGCCCGGCCTGCACCTGCTGTCACTGTCTCAGAGCCCCGAGGACACATCCGCGCTGGCTCGCACACCGTGGCTCACAGCAGACAGGCCAGAGCAGGTGTTGGAGAGGCGCTTGGGGGGCAGCAGAGCTGACACCAAGAAGTTTTGTCAGCCCATCACGGCAGAGCTTTCTGTGGCTGCATGAATGACTTCCTATATAAACTGGGAATCGATCCAAAGACTTCTAAAATCCCCCCCAGCCCTGAAGTCTCATGATGAGGTTCGGTGGCTCTCAGAAAGGCAGCCGCACACCTGCAAGTCACAGAGTACTTTGTGCAGCACCGTGAGCTGCACTCCTGGGAAGCTGTCCCGTCGAGGGGCTCAGAGCCACCCGCCAGCCAGACACCGACTGCTGAGAGTATGAAACGCAAGACCACACTCAGGGCCCGGGTGCCCGGCCCACTGCACCTGCTGTCACTGTCTCAGAGCCCCCGAGGACACATCCGCGCTGGCTCGCACACCGTGGCTCACAGCAGACAGGCCAGAGCAGGTGTTGGAGAGGGGCGGCTTGGGGGCAGCAGAGCTGACACCAAGAAAGTTTTGTCAGCCCGTCACGGCAGGAAGCTTTCCTGGAGCACTCCTCAGGGTGCTCGCTGCCCAGTGGAGCCGAGCAGCACAAGAGCTGAAGGTCTCTGGGACCACCTCCCGTGCCCACACATGAGTGCTCACAGGATTGGGAATAAATTTCTCCCAGAGGACAAGCCCTGCTCAGAGAACCTCCTAGCACCGGCGGCCAAGCACTGGTCTCCACTCCCGTCCTGGCCCAACAGCAGCTATAAATGGAGACAGATTACAGACCCACCCCCGCCCAGAGGGAGCTCCTTAAATGAGGTACCTGGGAAAGAAAAAGAGGGCCCACAGCCCAGGGGGCTGCCCAGAGGGCAGGCGCCAGGTATCAGAGGGCAGGACTGCAGCTCTGAGGGGGGCTGGCAGAGGTGTCCCGTGCTCCCAACGAGGGAGATGCTGGGGGAGCCATCATCCCTCCATCCAGATGCAGCTGGAGGGGACCTACCCCATGCCAGGTGCCATGTCTGACCTGGGGACACAGGTGACCGTGGCTGACACAGGCCTGGCTGGGAAGGGGGTGGCATGAACAACTGTGTCCAGGAGTAACAGTGCCACCCACGGGGAAGCCAGTTCCCTGAGGAGGGAACCCAGTCAGGGGCGATCCTCCCTGGAAGACGTCCTGTCCATGGCGAAGACAGGATGAGCAGGATGCAGCCAGGTGACAAGGAGGAGGGTGCACCTGAGACAACACGTGGACCTGGGGAAGTGCAGGGCACGTGCCGGAGCCTGGGAGGGATCAAATCTGCCTGGAACTGTGGTAAACACAGCTGCAACAGTGGGGGCAAGTATCCTGCAGAAGGCCTGGACTGCCAGAGTGAGGAGCCTATGCCTGCTTCATGGGCAGAGGGAGCCATGGAAGGTTTCGGAGCAAGGGAGTGACATGAGCTAAGCTCACTCGGACAAGGGGAGAAAGGGAGGCAAAGCTGGCTTGGTGGGCGGTTGGGGTCCTTGAAACAGCCAGGAGTAAAGGAGCTCCCCAGGCAGGTAGCAGAGAGATGCCCCTGGGGTAGCATTTTAGAAGCAGAAGGCTCAGAGCTGGGAGTGAGAAGCACTGGGCCAGAAAGCCCAAAACGGAGGCGAGTGCCTGGGGGGAAAGCAGCGGGAGGGGAGGCTCAAGGGAGGTCTTGTTGGACAGGCGAGGTTAGGACCCAGGACACCTGAGGGGGCACCTGACCTGCAGCGCCCTCCACCCATCACCTCCACCTCCTGTGGGTCTCACCCCCTGCCCTGCCCCGCCCCAACTCCTGCTGTCCCAGGAAAATGTCTATAGTCACAATCGCGGCTTGTTAATGAGCCCAGTTCCAGTCCAAGACCACGCGGGCATGGTGTGCTAAGCCATGCAATGGCTTTTCCCCTGCCTCAGTTTACCCACTCACCTGCATAGCTTCCAGCGCTTCTTTGAGCTGCTGCCTCTCAGGCCGTTCCGCAGAATGGCTCAGAAGCTCCTGGAGGGGGAAGAAGAGTGTCATGTGTTACCACTCAGGGGTCCTGGCCTCTGCCCTGACCCCTACCCAGTGCAGGGGCTGAGCGCAGAACAAAGTCCTCAGAAGAAATCCATCCCCACCTGCCAGCCCAGGCTGGGTTTGGCTGCCCACCACCAAAGGACAGAGAGTGACCCCTCCACCAGGGGATACCCCATTTCTTGGCGGGGCACTCCCAGATCTTGTGGATAAAGGAGGGGAGTGACCGTGAGAAGGGACATGAAGGCAGCAAAAAGCAAGGCACTGAGGCAGCAGTTCACGGGAAAAGGCCTCACAAGGTGGCTGGCAGGAACCACCGCCTTCCCTCCCAGGTCTGTCTTTCCTGAAGCCCTTCCATTTCCATTTCTGCTGTGGCCACCAGGAAGCTCAGAGATCAACCACAGCAGGTTTCCTTTTTTTTTTTTTTTTTGAGACGGAGTCTCGCTCTGTTGCCCAGGCTGGAGTGCGGTGGCCGGATCTCAGCTCACTGCAAGCTCCGCCTCCTGGGTTTACACTGTTCTCCTGCCTCAGCCTCCTGAGTAGCTGGGACTACAGGCGCCCGTCACCTCGCCCGGCTAGTTTTTTGTATTTTTTTTTTAGTAGAGACGGGTTTCACCGTGTTAGCCAGGATGGTCTCAATCTCCTGACCTCGTGATCCGCCCGTCTCGGCCTCCCAAAGTGCTGGGATTACAGGCTTGAGCCACTGCGCCCGGCCCACAGTAGTTTTCTTATTCCCGGTGTGAGGACACTTTTCTGTCTCCTCCAGTTTTCTGACCTCAATAGTGACTTGAGTCGTCTTCCCATGTATATTTACTGTGATAATCGTTCATCACACGCATTGAGCAGTGAGAATGACCTAAGCACGAACTGATTTGTTTATATTCAACTTAATCTGTCTGTGGGCTGCATCCCACCCCCCCTGGAAGCTGCCGGCCCTCATCTGACTCTGGCAGTGATGACCCCACAGGCACCCGGGGCCCAGAGCCTCACCTTCAAGAGCAGGTGGTATTTGAGCACCCTCTGCATGGGGACCACCAGCAGGTCTTGTAGTTTAAATTTTCCGTCCTGGACCTTCAGCGTGCACTCCTGGGAGGGCGACAGGGTGATTCCCTCCCTGAGGAAAGCCTGAATCCACGCATCTGTGCTCCCGCCCACAGAAAGGGGAGACCTAAGCCCAGAACTCGGGCCCAGACGCTTGGTTCTTCTCCAGCCAGGCTCCCAGAACCAGTCCATGCACCCGGTATGTGCAGACGGATGGGCTTCACAACACATGGGTGGGGGCACGCCACCTCTCCCATCCTGCCGTGTCTGCACTGGCCAGGCCAGGACGCAGTGAGACACATGCGATGCTACAGGAACCCTCCCGGGGCGCCTGCTGAGCCTGCCTGGATGTGGCTTTGACTCTTCCGCCAGGCCAGGTCCTTTGGAGAAGGGCAGCAGGGCACCCCCCATTGACCAGCCCCTCTCTGATCTGGCCTCTGGGAAATGCAAGGTGGAGCGCCAGCTTGCACTGAGCTGTGCGGGCCACTCCCAGGAACCAGGGCGTTCCCCCATCCATTGTCTGGACTTGGGGGGCATCGGGCATCTCCACTGGGGGGCCACGCTGCCTCCACCCCTGCTACAGCCAGAGGGCTCTACACCAGGCTCCACACAGAAAACAGGGTGTACTGACCAGATGGAGCCTGGAAACTCCAGCTGGGAACAGGAGGGGCTGGGAAGGGCTCATGTGAGAAACTAGATGTTGATAGAGACTCGCGCTGGGCCTGGGGTGAGGATGCATGAGGGGTGGGTGGCCCCACGGTTCCCAGCAAATGTTACCCGGGGTTCCCTGGGGTCAGCAGAGGCCAGGGTCAGGGGTCAGTCAGAGCCCCCAGTTGACAGAGACTCGCCCTGGGCCTGGGGTGAGGATGGATGAGGGGTGGGTGGCCCCACAGTTCCCAGCAAATGTTACCCGGGGCTCCCTGGGGTCAGCACAGGCCAGGGTCAGGGTCAGCCAGAGCCCCCAGCTGAGTTAGATTCAGTCCCAAGGCCCTTTCCCCATGGGGAGTCTCGCTGTGTCCTGGCCTGGGATGGTGACCTCCACCCGACCCCATCCCCAACCCAATATAATGCAAAAAAGAAAAATCTACAAAAAACCATTACCTCACCACCCCCGTCACCACCTTCCCAACAAACGGGCAAGAGAGAGGCTGGTACCTAATGAGCTCCGGACTGCAAGCTGCAACCTCAGGGCCAGGGCCAGGGCCAACGCCTGGCAGGACTTACCTCGACTTTCTGCCTGAAGTCCTCTCGGCTGGCCAGGAGCTGGTTCAGAGTGTTCTGGGCGTGCTCCATGTGGCTGCAGTACTCCCCGTAGATCAGGAGCCTGGACAGTGCACACACACGCACACACGTGCACGCACACACACACACACAGGTTTAATGAGCGGCTCGGGGCTGCAGTGAGCCTGTCCATTTTTCCCAGCAGGCTGTAGGTGCGCAACCAACAGTCCCCTCTGCTGACAGCTCCCCATGCGTGGACATATTCGACGGCCAGGAGGCTGCTTTACCCTTCCTGAAATGCTACCGGGCCGCAGGACGGCTGCCGGCGTGCTGGGAGAGGGGGTGCCCCGCTCTTCCTGAGTCCCAGGTGGTTCTAGGTCAGGTCCCGGCTGGGGATGCAGGGTGGAACACTCAACCCCCCATCCTACCCCCGAAAAAGGCCAACACTGGAGGAAAGAGAGGCCCCTGGCATCCCCCCAGGAAGGAAGACCCCAGGAGGGCTCAGACTCTTGCCCCTAGGCCCTGACCACCAAGGCCTGTGCTGGCTCAGGGCTCACCCTGGTGCTGTGCCAGGTGGGGAACCCCCAAGTGTCACCCTTGGTGCTTCTACATGGTGCCTGAATTCCACAAGCAGGGGACAACAGCCGTCAGTGACGGCCCCCTGCTCACCAGGGATGCAGGCAGTCATGTGGCCCCCGGACCTGGGAGGACCAGCAAGGTCCCGGGAGGATGCCCAGGAGGCCGGTCCCTCGTGTCCTGCGCACCACCTCCTCCTGGCCCCGGCATCGCTCTCTCCCGGCCACTCTCATTCCCACTTCAGTGCCTTGTGCTGGTCTCTTCAGCCACAGTACCTTCTCCCTTGCCCTGCACTGGGCCTGCATCTCTATAAACTGGAACCCAGGGTTCCCGGCCTCTGGAGCCTCAGGATCTTAGGTTACCAGCCTGAGATTTCATCTTGAAAACCCTGTCACCAAAGAAGTCCCAAAGAAGAAGAACCACGCCAGTGACCATGTTGGTGACAACAAGGATGACAAGAGCCACCACTCGCCAAGGCAGCTGCTGCCAGGTGCTTTGCTGACAAGCCTGACGACCTTTTCTGCCCATTTGTAAAGATGGGTGTGATCAGCTCCACCCTTCAGGCAGGGCGACTGAGGCCTCCATGAACTTGCTAGGAGCTGACAGTCTGGCCTGCAAGGCTAGGCCGGACCCAGCGTCCTGGTGACGTGCTCTCTGGCAGGGCTGCGTGTTAGTGTCTGGAGGCTTCCCTGGCCCGGGAAGCCCAGTGCAGGCTCTCGGGACCAGGTCACCATGGCCTCTGGGCCATTTCTCTTTCCATGATGAGAGCTGCTTTGCTGTAGGGCACCCGGCCTGGGGCTCGGGGCAGGCAGCGGGGCCTGAAGCTTGGCTTTTATGGAGGGCGGCCCTCGGGAAGAAGCGTCCTGATTGTGGCGTCTTGATGCAGGGACAGGTTTCCATCCATATGGCTCTGCCACGTGGGCCCTAGACAGGCCCCACTCCCCACACCTCTGGGGTTTTGGACCACACAATGCTCACTTTCTTCCCAATTCTGGAGTTCTGGGCTCGTAAAAACACAACAGTGGCTGGGAACACACTTTCTGCCCAGGGAGCACCTCCCTTTGTTGCTGGCTCAGGCACACAGACAGGCATCTTGACACGCTTCCCACTCCCAACAAATGCTCAAGAGGCTGTCCTCACTGCGGCCAGGGGCGACAGAGGCCCTGACACCCTCCGAGCGCTGCACGTGGGGCCCAGTGGCTGGTACCTCCTCAGGCCGCCCGAGAATCCTCCCTCGCAAGCCTGCAGGGACACTTCTGGCGCGCGAGGCTGACGGTCCACCACTCTGATAAAGGACCTGAATCTGCTCGAAGCTCACCTGGCCCAGCCACAGTCAAGCAAAGCACCCGTGGCCGGTCCCACAGGACCCACATGTGGGGTCTGTACGGGTGTGTCCCATGTCCACAGATCTGGGAGGTCTGCACGGACGCATCACCATCATTGCAAAGGGCCTCCCTCCTGCCTGGTGCCGGGGCCGTGTGTTGACCGGGAGCCACTTTAAATGGGAACCTGCCCCCTGGTTTCCACCTAAATGAGTCTCTTATTACACTGATGATCATTTTCATATAAAAGTTGGTGAAAACCTATCATCTCTGGAAGCAATCAAGAAAAAGGTTTTTCTCCTTTAAAAAAAAATGAACAAAAGCTTCAGAAGCCCCCGGTAGAGTAGAAGAAGGGAGAAGGAACAGAGGGACATTTAAGAGACCACCCGACAGCCTGAAAAGTGCGCGGACAAGACACTGAGCCCTAGCGGCCGCCTGCACCTGCCCCGCTCCAGATTGGTGTTTTCTCCACTCTAAGAGAACGATCAGAGCCAGGCACAGAAGACACGCCACACACACTGGGCATCACTTGGTGCCAGGACCTGGGTTGGAAGCTCTGGGACTGTGACTGTCGCCGTTCTACCCATGGGGACACTGAGGCTCAGAGAGGCCCGTAGCTGAGAAGGGACTCACACCAGCAGTCACCGACCCCAAAGCCCAGGTCCTTGGGCTGCACTCCTGCCTCCTGGCCGTGCCTGCCATCTGATGATGACACCAGCCCAGAAGCACGGCAGGAGGTTCCGGAACCCGAAGGCCCCCGGCCCACCCCTGTGGCCCGTTTGAAAAGTGCCCCTGACCTGGCCTAAGGACTCCACGTGGGGAAACCAGGGCAGGTGATGAAGCTCGAGGCTTTCAGAGCTTCCCAACATCACCTAGGGGTGGGAGGGGGAGTCTGGGCTGGGGAGGCGGAAAGCCAGAGCCCCCAGCGAGGGGTCCTCCCCACATGGAGCCACGTCTGCTGCTGCTGGGGCTGGGGCCACGCTCGGGCAGGAGGGATCACGTGACACCACACTGCCTGACTTTCCACCAGACATGGGCTCAGCTGGAAGCTCTGGGACTCTGACTGTTGCCATTCTACCCATGGGGACATTGAGGCTCAGAGAGGCCTGTGCTGAGAAGGGAAGCACCCCAGAAGTCACCAACCCCAAAGCCCAGGTGCTTGGGCTGCAGTACCCTGCCTGCTGGCTGTGCACCACCGCAGACTCAGCTTCAAGCATTTCAGGTGAGCTGGGCGCAGTGACGGCCCCAGCCCCTCTCCATCGAGGGAAGTCTTCATGTGGGTGGAAAAAGCACCCAACTGAAGCCCAGTGGATAACATGCCTGGTGTCACAGCAGCTCTAGCGTGGCCGAACCAGCCTTGTGAGCTCCCCCTTTCAATTTCACACCAGGTCACCTGGGCCCGAGGTTTAGGCGGACAAGGGGCCGGGGTGCGGATCCCAGCCTTACTCTCCTCACACCATGCCCCACTGGGAACGCCCCCACCAGCCACAGCACTGCTGAGCCGGTAGCCTTCTCCATCTGGCAAACTTCTACTCATCCGTCAAAACCCTCCCCTATCATTGCCCCTTCTGTGCCACCTTCTTCACCTCAACCCCTGCCCCAGCAGGGCCAGAGGCAAAAGCAAGGAGATAGGTCAAAGGGCAGCAGGGAGAGGGCTGTCCAGAGTTAGTGGGAGCCCAAAGGGGAGGCTGCCCCGGGTGATCCCCGCCCCCTAGCTCTGAGCTCCTGCAGTGGGTCTCACTCCTCCCCACGTCCCAGCACACAGCCCGGAGCCTGCCTGCACCAGGCACTCACACACGGCTGTGAGCGGCCACAGCCACAAGCCCTGGACACAGGTCCTTCTATCCATTCGATAAAAGGATGCAGGGGGTGGGGGTGGGGGGAACGGCAGACACTTGCAGCAAACAGGAGAAGGAGAACTACTCCTGGGGAAAGACACACAGACCTCCATGAAGAACCCGAAAAGGCCCTGGCCGTGGGAGGTGCTTCACACCTGGGCTCACTGCATCCTCACAGAACCACTTTCAGGACAGGGGCCCTGAGGCTCAGAGAGGTGACATAACTTCTGAGGTCACCCAGCAAGGAGGAACAGAGTCCACAGCGAATGCACGTGGCTCCCAACCCTGGCCCTTAGGGCCCCAGGGTGAGGCCTCTGCAGAGAGACACTCTCTCCGTTGAGTCCAGAAGGGCACTCAAGGGGCCCGCGCCCTCTCTCACCCGACCCAGGTGCACAGCAGATGCCAGCACCTGCACGCCCCCAGCCCCACTGACCACGGGCAGCTGGCAATGGAGAGGGCCTCGGACCAGAACTTGGCTGCAGTGGGTCCACCAGAGCCTCACACTGTGACCTTATTTGGTCACGATACAGACGCAATCCAGGTAAGGATGGATGAGGCCATGCTGAAGGAAGGTGGCCCTAAATCCAACGACAGTGGCCTCAGAAAACAACACAGAGACGTGGGGAGGCCATGTGGAGACGGGGACAGAGAACGAAGCAGCCACAGCCAGGAACGCCCGGGCCCCCAGCAGCTGCGGGACATAGGAAGGATCCCCCTGGAGCCTCTGCAGGAAGTACGACCCGGGCATATCTGGACTTTGGCTCAGTGAGACTAATTTAGGATTCTGGCCTCCAGAATGGAGTCATCTCTGTTGTTTCAAGCCACCATATTTGCGGTCATTGTTACAGCCAAACCAGGTCACTCACATAGATGCCTTCACCCTCCGCCCACACCACCAGGTCACTCACATGGACGCCTTCACCCTCTGTCCACACCACAGGATTCTGAACACCTGCCACATGGCAGGCAGCATGGGCCACAGAGTCCCCAGGGGGCACAGTTTGACTTTTCCCCGAAAAATGGAGAGAAAATGACGGTGACTCCAAGCCTACTGGAGGAAGTCAGTTAAGGAGGCAAAAGTTTACAGGCCTTAATTCTAACCACTTTTACTACTATTAAGAAAAAGGAGCCAAAACTTGGAAATAAGGCAGCACACAGGGGCACACATGCATGCACACACACACGTGTACACATATACACACACACGCACACACACGCACACGCATGACTTCATGCATTCCTGGTCTGGCTGGAGCACCTCTCGGGGGCAGCCTCCTCTGGCTCCGGCTGACTCCTCCCCCGGAGAAAGTTGTTCAGGCACAAATGATTTCTGTCCTGCTAGAGGACATGGCCCCAAAGGTCCCAGT